CACTGTTTTCTGGAAGGAGGGTGCACGTGGTACAATGGTATTCAGTGATTTCTATGCACTTCCAAAGAGTTTGAAAAAATTTAAGAGAGGTTAAGCTTTGCATATATAATCGAAACTGAACCTGTACGTATCACTCGACCATATACAAATTCATGTAGCCTTCTCATATAAATAGCCGTTCAAATCCAGTGTTTGTTTAGACTACACCATAGCGTGTAATGATTCTATAGTATCTCATTGATGCGGTTTTATAGCTGGTTTTCTAATACATATTTTAAACGAGCTCGTTTCGTAAGATTTTTGGCGCTAAATCATGCATGACATACATCATCGTGTTCAGCAAGAATTCAACTGTACATCGAAATCAAAATTGACAGCATAGTGTTCAATAGACACGAGTAAAATGGTTCCCGTTGACCCAACGTCAAATATTCAAATCTCCCGTTCTAAACCCGAAACTCTGAAGCTGAAAGAGTATCTGAAGTAGACTAAGCGCGCATAAAACTATGAGCGCTCGATACATTCCTTTGTTAATTTTTGCACTTTGCGTTCACGGTTACGTTGTGAAAAACATCGTTAGCTTAACCTCTCCTATATATGCAAAGCTTAACCTCTCCAATGCTCAAAATGTTCTCGTGGTCGTCACGTTCTACAATTAGAACGAGTGACAACGTACTAACGACGAGCTGGACTTACTACGAACCGAACCGTCGTACTTCAATCCTATTAGGGACTTTTAACAACGAGTTGAACTGTCTGAGGACGTGTTGAGAACGAGGTAGAACTAATTGCAAACGGGTTTAAACTGATTAAGAACGTATTTAACACTGCTTATGAACGAGTTAGCAAAAATATAGCTATCACACCAAACAAGTTGCCACTGCGTTCTTCAAAACTGGTTTTAAACTGTGTGCGAACGGAATGAACGTAGCTGCAACTTTCTAAGGTCTATTTACGAACTTTATGAACGTTCTCAGACGGGAATGTGATTTTAGAATTTTGAATCGATTCAAAATTCGATGGCGACCATACCGTTCTGTAATCAGGTCATGTTGACCTTCTAGACTAAGGGACGCGTTCTACTACGTTGCACACCGACGTGGTGCGACCTGAACGAACTGCGAACGAGATGGACGTATTGAAGACTGTTTAAAAACGAAGTAGCTAATTATTTCAGACATATTTCCCGACCACAGCCAGATTGAGCCCGTTTAACGACGTTTTCGTAGGACTGGCAAGAACGGGTAAGGACTAGTTTGGTGTGATAGGGGGGTTAGCTTAAGATCATCTCTCTAATCCATACTCGTTTCCCAGTTTGATTTTCAATCATCATACCTTGGAAATCTAAGATGTCTCTACTCTGCAAATATTAGATCTGTAAAGTTAACTCTTCATTTATTTGATGCCTGTATAGTATAGCAGGATGAACAGCATTTTTTGTTAAAATGTCAATTTTACTCCAATTCCAGAAATGATTTGTTTTCAAATGTTGCAAATAAAATTACAGGCTTTCAGAAATTTTCTGACAATGATAAATTCAATACATTGACATTTTGGTATGATTACTACATAATACAATAATTTAAAATATTTATTAAAGTTAAGAGTAGATGGTAAATATTACATTGTGACTACAGATTCATAATTAATATAGTGTTCGTTGGGATTCGCTACTCCGTGGAGTTGCCATTTTCTAGTTATGTACATTTTAGTGATATTTTATATATGATGTAATTATTTTATATACCTTTTGCATTCGTTTGACTTCACTTCTTAAAGGAGAGCTTCGTCTTGTAGTTTAACTAGACTCTGCACGCAGGGTGTATTTTATACTTGTATTTATTATATAGCCCATGACACTTTAATAAAAGGAGCACGTAGGTTATCGCAAACAATTTCAAACGATTCTAATTCTTGAATTATGGATATTTTCTGATCATTAACATGGATGTATCTTTTAGATCCATTCATTAACTTCAAGAAAAGTATATATAATGATAATTTAGTTAATCAGACCTAATAAGTGATATTGAACGGGCAATGGACCAATCAACATACTTTTTCAAAAATGTTGACCTAATTTTCACCAAAAATGCAACCTTTTATTATAATGTTGATTGCATAATTAGAATGTATTTTGAGACATGTTCGATTTCCTAAAAGGAAACTTGATTGCTCCAAAGACTTCAAAGATACTGAATTTGGATGACCAAGATGAACTGAAACCAATGGATAGCATGAGATTTTTCAGTGGAGAAATAACATGGGGAACACTTATCTTAAAGCAATTAAGTATTTCTTTCACGAACTATTTGATACATCAAAATAAAGAATAGTAATGCATTAAACATTGTAAAAATGATTCCATTTTTGGTGAAAATGAGCTCAACATCTTTGAAGAAATGTGTTGATTGGTTGATTGCTATCAAACTATCTCTGAGTTTGTTTGACTTTATTATTACTGTATATAATTTTCATTGAGATAATGAATTGATCTAAAAGATAAACCTGTCTTCATTGTCAGAAAATAGTCATGATCCAAGATATGTATGTATGTATGTATTTATTTATTTAAGTGTCACGCCATAAAATTACATATTATTAAAAACTACATAAAATCACTGGCCCTGCCGGTGTCGGCATATGAGACACTATGGTGTACAATAATCACTTTTAAGACCAAAGTTTTTAAATAAGTTAAAATGATCGTCTTTTAATACATAGTTTAATAATTGTCTTTCCCAAACGACGTTGAAGGAGCTCACAGTTCATTATCAAACAATATTTTGCAAGGTTAGATGTTTCAAAGTCATCGCCAAATATTGTCCTTGCACTATCCATAAGCTCATTCCTCTCGAGCTGGTATAAAGGGCATTCTATCAGAAAATGCAGTTCTGTTTCGACAGCGTTACCGCAATGACAGAGGCGCTCCTCAAGAGGCATATTGATATAACGGCCCGTTTCTAATTTTAACGGTAAAGTGCCACTTCGTAGTTGAGCGATGGCACGTCTTTCATGGCGGGTGAGGTTAGCATTCACATAAGCCTCAGGGCCAATGGCATTGGATTTATGAATTCTGTACATCCTCAATTTATTGCCGTTAATGTTCCTACCATCATTCCATATTTGTTGGTGCCATATTACATGATCATTTTTCAGTAATGCCTTGTGTAGATCATTCAGTTCCCCCTTTGTATTTATAACTTCATCTGGTGTTATAAGCTGGTCAAATCCATGGTTCCTTAATAGTTTAATGGTTTTACTTTCCCAAGATCGGGCTCGTCTTAATGACCAAATGTGTATGTTCTTTGTGTTTCTATTGTTCTCCATGTTCACAGTTCTTTAAACGAAACCATAAACGTGCAACTGCACACTATGTCGCCCTTGGTTGCAACATTAGGAGCCCTTTGACCAAGCCCTAGAAAGACCTTCTGAAATTGTTTGCGATAACCTACGTGCTCCTTTTACAATACAATACAATAAAACCAATATTACTTTACAACTCAGAAATCTAGTGTACGCAGATAAGTGCAAAAATATGTTTGATTTTAACACGGACCTATGCTTACAGATAACCTCCTCTGTGTCTACCGGCGGTATTATGACTGTGTAACGGGTCTTATATAATGTATAAGTGTGATCGGCGGTAGGTTCAAACAACGCGGATCCTCAAAGCATGTGCTCATGGTATATTCGTGTTTTAACACCCGTGTACATGTAGGCTCAATAAATATACTCGTGTCTCATCTTCCCAAATATCCTTTGAGTCTACTACCAATAGGGGCTGGATCTGGCTCCGGATCTGTGGACTTTAAGAAGAAAATTGAAAATATACAAATAAAGTGCTGCAGATGGATTCTTGATGTCAAACACAACTGCAGTAACCTTGCAATACTGAGTGAGACTGGCAGACTAACAATGTCATATCATATTCATTCGACTGGACGCACATACAGTAAGCATGCTACCAAAGACTTCTCTAACGAGCAAATTACTTTCACACATGAAAAACAAAAAATACAGTCTGTGGTACAATTTCATTGCAAAGTCACTGCATAGTATTGACAATGATATAAATGATGTTAAACTCCCTGATTCATCCTCAAAAAATACATTCTTAAAATCTTAAAAACTATCATAAATGCAATGATCAGTGGAAGATGAAAATAAGCTCTGGTAGCAAACCAAATAATAATACTCTAGTAGTAAAATGAGAACCTATGTAAAATTCAAAAATAATATACATCTTGAAGAATATCTCACCACTGAAAATAACTTTGAAAAAAAGAAAGCTAAAATTCAAATGAACTTTTTTAACATGACTGAGGAAAACAAGTTCCTATACATTATGTCATACAAATCAAATATGGAGGAAGTCCTGCATTTCATTGAAATGTGCTTTAGAAAAGAAATTTATTGCAGATTAATGTGACTAGGCCTATAAATGTAACTGTATAAATGTATGCCCTGATAGCCTAACACAGTGGCCGTGCCTTAATAAATTCTATAAACCGAAATCGGGGAGAAAGTGTGCGTATGTGTGTGTGTGTGTGCGTGCGTGCGTGCGCGCGCGCGTGTGTGTGTCGGGGGGGGGGGTGTTATCCCGTGCCAGTTTGGTGTGCATGGCCACCCTCTCCCTATTTTGTTGAGGCGATTCTGAGTTACGGTTTCCCCTGGGACTTATCTCGTTCCAAGACTATCTCTACTATTCCAAGACTATCTCTATCTCTACGGGATAACCTGGGACTTCTCTCATGGTGTGCTGAGAAAAGATACTCAATTAGGAAATTACATGTGCTCAATTTTAAAGCTATGATGATGATTCTTTAAGATTTAGTCACCCCCTCTTCTCCTTTCCCTCTTGGAAAATTCTTGGGACGCCACTCACTGGAAACAATGTGAACCCGCTCTCAAATCTAGTTCACACATTTCTGATAAGCAACCATTGTAAAGTCATGGGCTCATGGTAAAGTGTTTGCTGCTACTTGCACTCAAAACGAGGCTGGCTTTCGCGCCATATTTGAAATTATGATAACTAGATTAACACTATGTTATTCTGGTCAAGAATTGAATATATACAACGTATTTAATTGCTAAAACAGTAATCATATCATGAGTGACAACCTGGATACCCTCTTTGAACAAATTCTGCACTCAGAACAAAGAGCACAAGCCAAAAAAACATTCTTGAACGAAAGTAGGTAAACTTAGATTTATAGCCTAGGCCTAGCCTAGGCTAGGCTAATCTATTTCACTTTTCAGATTTTTGAAATTATTGACATCAGCAGTTATTGAAGTGATAGATTGACATGAGTACTCAGAAATGATTAAACTTAGAGTCTAGTCTGCGCCAAATTAAGATATGTTGCTTATCACGCGTCATGGGCATCCTCGGGGGCCGGGGGTGCAGAGGTTCACACACCCATTTTGATTCAATTTTAAGGCCTAGATCTTTATGGGCTTTGATGGAGACTGTTTTTTAGATAAAGCTAAGCTTAGAGGTCTAGTCGACAACTGACCACATCCCCCAAGGTAGATTATATGTTTTACTTCTACATCTGGAATCTCAGCTGAATCCAATCACGTACCTGAAAAGTCTGGCATAATCCGGGGGCCTAATGCTACTTCTGCAAGTATAGACCCAGATAATAATAAGCAGTGGCGGATCCGGGTTCACACCGGAATAGCCTGACAACAGTAAAGTCACATACCATTGTCACAAATGGCGGACATAACCATCGCTTCAACTCTTCAATCACTTGGTCCTCATTTCATGGGAATTTATCGTGGCTAATTCTGTGCTTGTATTAAGCTCTTGTGATGATGTATCATATGAAATCCCAATTTCTATCAAACTGGGTCGTGAATCAGTCCCATAGCCAGAGGGGGGAGCTGGGGGAGCAGAAGCCCCCCTGGCCAGAAATTCTTTCAAAATCATTCAGTTTTTCACTATTCTGAGAACTTTTCGCATGATTTTTAGCCAATTTTTGTGAAATAGCCCACCCCCCAGGAAAAAAGCTCCCCCTCCTGGTATAAGCTGGCTACGGGCAAGTGAATTGCCACAATAACGCCTATACACTCGTAAACAATGCATGAATAATTTGCAATATCAGATGGAGAAATCATATGTCATTCAAGTCAATGGTATTAGTATTTTCCCAGGCATTTTAACCAAATAGCCATTCAAAATTGTAATTTAAAAACACCTTAGCTAAAACACTTTTAAACAGTGCATGTATCCACGATCTCTGAACTTATGGTGTTTTCTATGTGAGTAATTTTTTTCTCACCTTAATATTTGCACAAAAGAAGGTTTGTATAGGCCTAGTGTTCAGTTGACTCTGTGCGTAACGCTTTCCCATGATTTTTTCATTCTTTTTTTCTTCGTCAGCGCATGTATGCAGAGCCTCCCTTTTAAAGGGAGTGTAAGTGGTTTGGAGGGTAGGGAGGGTTACTGAATGTTACAGTCCCACACCTCGATAAGAGGGGGATATTTCCTGATTACTATTCATATTGAAGAGTATTGGGTTACTCTATAGGCCCTTGTACTAAAATGAAGTTTTGCTCAAAAGCACAGAATGTTAAAATATTTCTTCTGTTGTATCCACAGCTTCATTTTCAGCTTTAGTTGTGTCTAGTTGTGTAAATGTATACAAACACTAGAATACAAAGAATTATGATGAGACTGTTATTCATTACAAATTCCTCAATTTTCAGTTAAACAGAAGATACTGAAATACCAGGATCAAATTGAAGGAACAATAGATGAGAAAACATCACTAAAAGGACACATATCAGTCAAGGTACCATTCAATCTTTAACTGTTAAAACTAGGCTAAGGATTTTTTCTAGAGTATTTGTGCATATACATGTAGTGTATTTGCCCGGTTCTTTTTCATACTTTTTAGTCATAACCATTTCACTGAGAATACTAGTATACAATAGAAACCTGTCTTAGTGAACACCTCTCTCTAGTGAACATCTGTCTCTAGTAGATACCCCTCCTCCTCCTAATTGACATGAATTTCAGGCACTATCATTCATATTTCGGAATTTATTGACATTTGAATTCTACATCACCACAAACCCTTGAGTTCTCAGAAAAATACAACAGTTGATGTCACATTTTGTCCATTTGTACACAAATTTTCAACCATAAAAGCAATGTTTTTTATATTAGATTAGTTCACATTTTCCTCGTATTCATAAGGCACTTTAATAAAAAAAGTATATAAATTTTGATAGAAACCCCATACGTCAACGGTTGGTTTGGTGAAGGATCATATGACATATTTCTTAAGAACTGAAAGAAATGTTCCCATTTTCTAGGCAGCATAATTTTGCATATTGACAATGCATTGGTGAATAAGTCACTACGTGGCAGAATTGCACCCAGTTCACTTTCTATTAAGACTCATTAGCTCCATATATTTGCCAGATTTTCCTTAGACCTTAAACAAAGATTAGTGGACCATGTCTCTGACATAGACACCCTACCCAGTTCCTTACCTCGATCGCGTATGTGTGAGATTTTTGGCTTTTAACCAGGTCGCTTTTGAGTATATCGACTGCTTAGTCAACAAGTTAATACATTTTGTGCTCGTAGTGAGTCAGTATTGTTATTCGCTGAACTTCAACAGTGCAATAGTGAAGTCCATGTTCAAAGTTATATGATGGTTGAAGAAAGAATACAAATAATATTGTTTTAAAGTTTTAAATATTTGATATGTCATAGTACAGGGTACAAAGTTTCAAAAGTTGATCAATACAGGGTGCAAGGAATGTAAATTGTTCAATAAGGTTTTATACAAAAACCAATTCTGAGATAGTCAATAATATACTAGAATCATGTTTTGTACAATAGTGTGATAGTATGTTTTTGAACCACTCAATGTAATTGATCTAGTCTTTGTTTTCAGACAAGTACAATAACAACGTACATCATGCCGATCACTATTTCTAATGCGCTTGATATCCTTATCCAGTGGTACATGGAGCTGTATTTGAATATAAAAGATATTTGCCTAAAATTAATGTCAGATAGATCCTCAATGTATGAAATTGTTGTATTTATTTTATAAACATAGACACCCTACCCAGTTCCTTACCTCGATCGCGTATGTGTGAGATTTTTGGCTTTTAACCAGGTCGCTTTTGAGTATATCGACTGCTTAGTCAACAAGTTAATACATTTTGTGCTCGTAGTGAGTCAGTATTGTTATTCGCTGAACTTCAACAGTGCAATAGTGAAGTCCATGTTCAAAGTTATATGATGGTTGAAGAAAGAATACAAATAATATTGTTTTAAAGTTTTAAATATTTGATATGTCATAGTACAGGGTACAAAGTTTCAAAAGTTGATCAATACAGGGTGCAAGGAATGTAAATTGTTCAATAAGGTTTTATACAAAAACCAATTCTGAGATGGTCAATAATATACTAGAATCATGTTTTGTACAATAGTGTGATAGTATGTGTTTGAACCACTCAATGTAATTGATCTAGTCTTTGTTTTCAGACAAGTACAATAACAACATCATGCCGATCACTATTTCTAATGCGCTTGATATCCTTATCCAGTGGTACATGGAGCTGTATTTGAATATAAAAGATATTTGCCTAAAATTAATGTCAGATAGATCCTCAATGTATGAAATTGTTGTATTTATTTTATAAAAAGTAGCAATGGGATTTTGTTCACAGGTGGCCATTAAATTTGCTGTCTGCAACATTTAAATGAAAGAAATGGATGCAGGTGTGAATCTGGGAACCAACATGGGGGGGCCCAAGGTCAGAGAAAAAACTTCCCCGCTTGTGAGGAAAAAGATTTAGGGCCCCTAAAACCCAAAAGTGGGCCCAAAATTAAAAGGCCTTATTTTATAGGGCCCCCAGCCCCCCAGATCTGCTAGTGGGGTGTAAGCATAATATCTTTATGTTATCTTTATTTTAGTTACAACAGTTGAAACAGAGTGAAGTACAGCTACATTGTGTTGAAACAAGACAAAAGATTCTTCACCAACAACTGCAAAAACTCAAAGACCAACTACATCATGCTCAAACTGAATTGGTAGGTTTGTGAAATTATTATAGCTATTATACGCGAGAGGGGTTTTGCGGGACTTTCATTATAAAATGAAACTCTGGCAGGGAACAGCCCCCTTGTCTGAAAGATCAATGAAGTCTGGGCTGGTAACGAACCCCACACTCTCAGAAATACTCAGAAATTTTCTCGCATATAAGCCCTGGGTGTATAGCTGAAAGAAGGGGTAATTTTGTCTGTTATTTTACCTCTTATTTTTCGCACATGGGCGTATAAGTGTACTACTTTCGATTTTTTTGTAAAGGTGAGAAGAGAGTGGGCATCAGCCATCTTTCTCAAAGACTACCGTACCTACTGTTGTAGTCCTACCGCATGTTTTGTAAGAATTATAAAGGAAATGTCACCTACAACCTTGGACTTAATGTTGAAACAAAGTAACAACAGAACGATCCACCACTGCCACTTACGGCAGAGCGTTGAACTTAATGTTAAAACAAAGTAACGACAGAACGATCTGCCAGTGACAAAATACTCTTGAATTTATTAAAAAAAATCAATAAATAGTCATTTTTATAGGCCCATGGGCGTATAAGCGTACTACATTCGATTTTTGGCCCATGGGCCTAAATTTAGGGGGGCGTATATGCGAGAAAATCCGGTATATGACAATTTTTGCGCAAACAATGAATTGCACTTAAATATTAGCTATTTGATGACGCGCATACTATATTCCATAATTTGATTGATTCATGGAAACAATGTTGTGTGAACCCCCTCCTTCATTTGGAACCCTCCTCCTTTCGTTATAAAATGAACCTCTGGCTGGGAAAATTGAAACCCCCTTGGTTAAAATAAAACTGTGCTAAACTTTTCAGTGAATGAAACACAATGAATTGCACTTAAATATTAGCTATTTGATGATGCGCATACTATATTCCATAATTTGATTGATTCATCGAAACATTGTTGTGTGAACCCCCTCCTTAGTAATAATAAAACTGTGCTAAACTTTTCAGACTTGGATCTGCACATTTCATTAGAGAATTATACTGAATGGGAATCTTTATATGGTACCTTCAGAGAAGAAAGGATATCCACATTCAAAGGTCCATGGGCAGTATGGCAAGTGATTTTAGAGTCATATCTTTCACCATGAGTACAATTTATTATAGTAAAATATCAATCCAACTCTCTGAAAAATTATGGATTAGGGCCCCACCTTGGCACTTTAAAAAAAATGTTAGGCTTATTTTCTAAAAAGAGGATCTTGTTTTTCTCAATTTAAACATATCGAAAGTTTCTTCTACACTATATTAACAATTTCTGAAAAGGGGATGTGTATTGAAAATTTGAAATGTGTTAAAGTTTAAAACCACATATCCAATGTTATTATTTTCCATAGGGAAAACTCGTGCTATCCATTGTTTTCAGCATCATTTTGGTCATTGAAAATTGATATCTTCAAAACTAGACTTTCAATACCATTATATTTTTGAAGATGTTTTGACCCCTTGTTGAATAATCTTTTGATGCAATAAAAATCAGAAAAAGGGGATCCTCTTTTGAGAGAATAGGTTCAATATTTTGAAAAAAATGTTGACTTGGGGTCCCTATTCATAATTTCTTGAATTGTTCGATTGATATTTTTATCATCATGGGTATTTCACTTGAAAGAAAACATATTGTTTTAATAAAAACCACTGTATTTATATCCAGAAAATACTCATGGTGAAAGATAAGACCATCTAAAACCACTTGCCATACTGCACGCGGTCTTTTTGATTGTTAAAAGTTAGTTAAAGATTGTACCTTCTGTGCCCACCATACTCAAAGTTCATCTCTTTCGTCCAACATATCAGGTGCTGCCTGTCTGTATTTGGCATAATTTAGAAACCTCTGTTGATAAGATTGGCATATTTTCTAAAATTCAGCAAAACAAGGTCAGCGACGTTGACGCTGAACTTGATGCTTTCTGCACATCTGCGGATATCTTCACTCAAGACTTTGACTTAATGGGAGAGGGTAGGAAGAGCCGAGAGAAGGAGGGAAAGCAGTTGTTGGAACAGCTACAAGGAGAGCAGACAGCACTAGAGACAGGTGAGAGAATGTGAAATGTTAAGTGAATAAGTCTCCTAAAGTATTCAGATTTTGAGACGCTCATTGTTTCCAATTTTACATGAAGTTAAAGATGCCAGGCATTATTCATTTCATTAAATTATATTCTAATATCTTTAGAAGAGGTTTGTAACAAATTGTTACAATTAGTAACAACTTGAATAACTTAACAGATGTTGACAAATTGTTCGTTCATGTATTGCAGAGCTCTCAAGTTTTTTGTCACACCAAGCTGCCATAGAAGAACTAGAAAAGAACCGAAGTGAAGCCAAGCTCAGATGCAAGAACACACTAGCAGTAGTTAAAAGTAAGAATCACTTTTGTTTTATTCAAGAATGCCATTGTGGGCTATAGAAAGGCTAAAAAAAGAAAGACTAGCTTCTAAGGTAAATCGAGGGGATATAGAAAAGCCATCTGTCCGTTCTTTTGTTAGTTCATTCATTCATTAGTTTGTTTCTCTGTCAGGGCGATAACTTAAATAACAGTTGACAGATTTGATTCAAATTCTAAAGGCTTATGCCTCTAGAAGGACCTCTACTGCAAGAAGGAATTCAATAAGGAATACAATTCCTCTGCTCAGGAAGAAATTTTCAACATGACTATTGAATTTCAAAATGCCCGCCATTTTTCGTAAAAAACATAATCTTTGATAACTTAGATGAACAAATTTGGTTCAAATTTTGTATGCTAAAGCCCAGAGATAAAGGAACTCTACTTGAGAAAATTTGGTTCTTGTGCCATGCTCACCTACACGGGAATTTTAAAAATGCAAATACAAGTGTATCATTCGTATCACTCACCTACACGGGAATTTTAAAAATGCAAATACAAGTGTATCATTCGTATCACCCACACGGGAAATTTGAAATGTAATTTACGAGTGCATTATCCGTAGTTGGCGTAGTCAACATACTATCATGTAGTTAGTTCAATAAAATACCCGTAGCAGACGTAGATATACATACGGTGGATCCTATGGTGTGTATGTATACCTATAGACTCATGTTTTGATGTAGCAAGCGTAGTAGGCGTAGTAAACATACTATGGTGTGGTTATTTTCAATAAAATACCCGTAGCAGACGTACAGATGTACCTAGGGTGGACCCTACAGTGTGTATGTATACCTATAGACTTATGTTTTGATGTAGCAAGCGTAGTTGGCGTAGTAAACATACTAGCAGACGTAGACATACCTAGGGTGGGCCCTACAGTGTGCATGCATACCTATAGACCCCTGTTTTGGTGTAGCAAGCGTAGTTGGCGTAGTCAACATACTATCATGTGGTTATTTGCAATAAAATACCCGTAGCCGACGTAGCTATACCTAGGGTGGACCATGACAGTGTGTATGTATACCTAGAGACCAATGTTTTGGTGTAGCAAGCGTAGTTGGCGTAGTCAACATACTATCATGTGGTTATTTTCAATAAAATACCCGTAGCAGACGTAGCTATACCTAGGGTGGACCATGACAGTGTGTATGTATACCTAGAGACCAATGTTTTGGTGTAGCAAGCGTAGTTGGCGTAGTCAACATACTATCATGTGGTTATTTTCAATAAAATACCCGTAGCAGACGTAGCTATACCTAGGGTGGACCATGACAGTGTGTATGTATACCTAGAGACCAATGTTTTGGTGTAGCAAGCGTAGTTGGCGTAGTCAACACACTATTATGTGGTTATTTGCAATTAAATACCCGTAGCAGACGTAGCTATACCTAGGGTGGACCATGCCAGTGTGTATGTATACCTATAGACCAATGTTTTGGTGTAGCAAGCGTAGTTGGCGTAGTCAACATACTATCATGTGGTTATTTTCAATAAAATACCCGTAGCAGACGTAGCTATACCTAGGGTGGACCATCTATTCAACCTGCTTGTAATATACCACATTATTCTTAAAATGTGTTCTCTTAAATTAACAAAGATCAACCCGTCTTTCGTCTACAATGTTTATCAGAAATGTATTCCAAATTGGTCAACGTGTAGCAATATGATTTGTGATTACGATGCCATCGTTGCAGCTGTGAAAAGATTTAAAAAGAAAGAGTTTGTGTTTTATAGCCAAACATGTAAAATAATGGCCCGTAGACTGTAACAGGTTTACTCTAATCCATCACAGTATGAACCATGTTTGAGGAATATTATTGTAAATGCTATTTTTGACGAAAGGTGAATGTAAAAGTTTGGAAACAATATTTGTGTTTGCCCGATTATAATAACATGTAAACTGTTTGATAATAGGTCCAAGATTAAAAATAAAGTACCAATTAAATTACCAAAGAAGAAGTAATTTCAATAATAATGTTCATTATTACATTATTATTGAAATTACTTCTTCTTTGGTAATGTAAGTAGCACTGATCGAAATCTTGTCTCGTTATAGGCTATATCATATAGATAGAATTTTCTTTATAATGTCAGGACGCACAAGCTAATTTTCGTCATCAGTGTTCAGAGTTTGCGTCTGTAACAGTGTTAATACTATGTTACATCTAGGAACACCAAAACCATTTGTAATTATTTACAGGTGTGGCTTGTCTCTCAATTGTCTGCAAACATGCATCACATAATCTATCCATATTGTGTGGTAACAAATTACAATGTATAAAAGCTAAGTTGCGGTAATGTTTGTTTACGATTGTAATATTATAGGCGTGTGTGTGCTTATGATTTGGAATTGGGCAACTAGGTTACATCTTCGTTCACAAAGGCTCCTGTAGGTCGATGAACGCAGTGAAGACCGGAGCATGCGGAGATGACTAGGTTATGAGAAACTTACATTTAGATATGTCAATTCACTGGATTTCAGAAAAGCAAATGGTTAAGAAATGTAGTTTCATATATTATGCTCACAGTGGACGTTTCAGATCGTCCTAATATTGTATATCAAAACTATTAAGTAGATGTTTTATGTAGTAGGTGTTCTATGTAGCAAAAATAGTTAGTTTGAAAAATAAATTAATGTAGTAATCAGAACTCATTATATTTCTTTTGTAATTGTGTGAGCCCAGAATGTCGTTGTCTTCACAGATTAACAAAGTAGGTGTAATTAGGAGAAAAAATATGCTTGGTGTTATGAACAATAGAATTGATCAATGAAATATACATTTTTATACGAATAACTACATATTTTTGCGAGAAGCCAAATTTCTATTAACGCTATACGCATAAACATAAGTCGTGGTTTCACTTTTGATCTATCTCTCTAGTTGCTATTATTATGTAGAGAACTGATAAAGTTGCAGGAAAGGAGGTCCTTCATCCTATATATTAACATTTTCATCAATTTTTTAACCTCTTATCTTATAAATTACTGCTTGGACATATGGGGTGATACGAGGGGTGATTCAAAAGTAATGGACAAAATTTTATAGGCACGCTTACCTTTACCAGATTTGAATGAAACTTTGTACAAATAAAGATTAATCATTTATCTATTAGATTTTAAAATTTTATTATCTAAATGCAAATACATTTTGAGATAGAGCACTTCTCTTGGATCATGGTGCATACACCCGGAATCCATTTTTAAGGCTATTTTCATCATAATATCAAATGGATTTTCAATGAAAAGTTTGCTGGTGCAATATATTTTGCAGTGCAAGATGTATATGAAAAGCATGTTGCAGTAAGTTCAATAATAATCCATATCATTCCTTATTATTCCTGATGATCATCCATTTGAATTATATTCAATCCTCAATGTATTCTCCTCCAAGTTCAATTACTTTCTTCTGTCGGCGCACCCATGCAGAGAACACATGCCCAAATCCATCAGCAGCCATGGTGTTCAGCTGTTTTTGTACAGCCATTTCCAGCTCAGCTAATGTCTGAAAGGATTGTCCCTTTAATGCCATCTTAAGGGTGGGAAAAAGATAGAAATCACAAGGAGCAGTATCAGGGCTATATGGAGCATGTGGAAGTTGAGGCATGTCCATGAATGCTGCAAGAGTATCCTGAACTAGACCTGTGTGCTGGGGCATTGTCCATGTGTAACAAACGATTGTCTCTTGTGTCTTTCCTTTTCTTTTGAAGTGCCTGTCTTAGAAATATCATTGTGATGTCATAGCACAATTGGTTGCTGAATTTAGAACTCAACAGCAAACACATGGGCATGTGAGTCTTGCTTGACAATTGCATTACCATGCTTGTTAGACATATCATGTGTGGTAATTGAGTCATTAAAACGAAATCAAGCAAAAATGACAAAAACATTCAATTATCATTAAAAAACCAATTCCACCCATGCTTACCCTTGTTACCATGGTTACGCATAGCTGAAACAATTTCAAATGCATTTAAATGAGAATTCGACACAAAGTAGAGAATTGATTGATCTATTCACTGTGAAAAAATTAGACTGATTGGGTGAAATTTAGTATGCCTATAAAATTTTGTCCATTACTTTTGAATCACCCCTCGTAGAATAATGTTATGTGTGAACTTTTGCATGATACACAATATTGTGTGCCATTCGAGTTGTAGACAGATTCACTTGCAACCAATTTAATTACGTTAAATTAAATCATGAAATTTCGTGACAATTGCAAGTGTTTAGCATGGAAGTCTATGGCTATGTGGCCCAACCAAAACAATGACCCTAAGATGAATGCTTCTATGAAAGCATTATATTCAATTCTTAAAGCCTGAAAGCTAATTAAATCAATTAGCTGACTTTTGATAGATGTCTCTGCAATTACAATGGTAATATGGCAAAAATAAAGATGTCACTATATGATTAAAGTAACACATAGACGATACATCTATAATCTAAAACCCCAAAAAGTAATAGATATGACTATATGTTAGATAAAAAGAGATTTAAAAAACATTGGGGGCCATAGATAAATAACTTTGCCACGACCGAGATTTAAACCACCAAATATGGGGTTGGAAGACCATAGCCTTAATCATAATCCACTAGATCAAGTTGAGATGAACTGGTAATTTCTAAGCTATCTCACCTTCCGGGCTACGCCAACTACGCTTGCTACACCAAAACATGAGTCTATAGGTATACACACACAGTGCCATGGTTCACCCTGGGTATAGCTACGTCTGCTACGGGTATTTTATTGAAACTAACCACATCATAGTATGAACTGTGTTGACTACGCCAACTACGCTTGCTACACCAAAATATAAGTGTATAGGTATACACACACACTGCCATGGTTCACTGTGGGTATAGCTAGGTCTGCTACGGGTATTTTATTGGAAATAACCACATCATAGTATGTTGACTTCGCCAACTACGCTTGCTACACCAAAACATTGGTCTCTAGGTATACATACACACTGTCATGGTCCACCCTAGGTATAGCTACGTCTGCTACGGGTATTTTATTGAAAATAACCACATGATAGTATGTTGACTACGCCAACTACGCTTGCTAAACCAAAACATTGGTCTCTAGGTATACATACACACTGTCATGGTCCACCCTAGGTATAGCTACGTCTGCTACGGGTATTTTATTGAAAATAACCACATGATAGTATGTTGACTACGCCAACTACGCTTGCTACACCAAAACATTGGTCTATAGGTATACATACACACTGGCATGGTCCACCCTAGGTATAGCTACGTCTGCTACGGGTATTTTATTGAAAATAACCACATGATAGTATGTTGACTACGCCAACTACGCTTGCTACACCAAAACATTGGTCTCTAGGTATACATACACACTGTCATGGTCCACCCTAGGTATAGCTACGTCTGCTACGGGTATTTTATTGAAAATAACCACATGATAGTATGTTGACTACGCCAACTACGCTTGCTACACCAAAACATTGGTCTATAGGCATACATACACACTGTCATGGTCCACCCTAGGTATAGCTACGTCTGCTACGGGTATTTTATTGAAAATAACCACATGATAGTATGTTGACTACGCCAACTACGCTTGCTACACCAAAACATTGGTCTATAGGTATACATACACACTGTCATGGTCCACCCTAGGTATAGCTACGTCTGCTACGGGTATTTTATTGCAAATAACCACATGATAGTATGTTGACTACGCCAACTACGCTTGCTACACCAAATCATTGGTCTATAGGTATACATACACACTTGCATGGTCCACCCTAGGTATAGCTACGTCTGCTACGGGTATTTGATTGAAAATGACCACTTCATAGTATGTTGACTAAGCCAACTACGCTTGCTACACCCAAACATTGGTCTATAGGTATACACACACACTGCCATGGTGTACCCTGGGTACAGCTACGTCTGCTACGAGTATTTGATTGAAAATGACCACTTCATAGTATGTACTGTGTTGACTACGCTAACTACGCCTGATACACCAAAACATGAGTCTATAGGTATACATATACTCTGTAGGGTCACCTTATGTACAACTACGTCTGCTACGGGTATTTAATTGAACAAAAACAGTATAGTATGTTTAATACGCCAACTACGCTTGCTACACCCAAACATGAGTCTATAGGTATACCACACACTGCCATGGTGTACCCTGGGTATAGCTACGTCTGCTACGAGTATCTTATTGAAAATGACCACTTCATAGTATGTACTGTGTTGACTACGCCAACTACGCCTGCTACACCAAAACATGAGTCTATAGGTATACACATACACTGTAGGGTCACCCTATGTACAACTTCGTCTGCTACGGGTATTTAATTGAACAAAAACAGTATAGTATGTTTCATACTACGCCAACTACGCTTGCTACACCTAAACATGAGTCTATAGGTATACACACACACTGCCATGGTGTACCCTGGGTACAGCTACGTCTGCTACGGATATTTTATTGAAAATGACCACTTCATAGTATGTACTGTGTTGACTTCGCCAACTACGCCTGCTACACCAAAACATGAGTCTACAGGTATACATACACACTGTAGGGTCACCCTTGTGTACTGCTACGTCTGCTACGGGCATTTATTTGAAGAAAAACAGTATGGTATGTTTAGTACGCCAGCTACGCTTGCTACACGGAAACATGAGTCTGTAGGTATACTCACACACTGTCATGGTTCACCCTAGGCCTACGCCAACTACGCTTGCTACACCAAAACATGATCAGGGTACATTACGCGTGATTTTACATGTTGGTTGCGCTTTCTACACATGTGCAAGCCTACCAAAGCCACATTTGTCTGCATGTTACAGAAATCATCACGAAATATGTTCACCTATCTATGGGATTGTAACATGGGCATGTTATATTGATACATGTCAAGTAGGTGATCACCGCACACGTGCCGAAAATTTGGCCACTATTGATCAAAATGGCCTCCATTTGTCATTAAAAATGTTATCTTTGGTAACCCAAATATCAGTTGATGGATTTAGCAATTGTTAAAACATCCCGCACCGACAGCATCCCTCTTCAAAAAAGCATCCCTCTGTAATGTACCTCTGGGTCTGTATGATCCCAGGTCTTTATTATGATAAATAAGCCTGATGTAAAGTGAATTAACTTCTTGAACTTCCCACCCCACGGACTTCAGTCAACATTTCTTCCGAAACTTACTTCCTAATACAATAGATATATACCAGGATTGGTAACAGGCAGCCACTGCTTATAGATTAACTTATTGTCTTAGAAATCTAACATTGTCTAGTCATATTTATTGAGGCCAGGTTTTTATTATCTATCTTGCTCACATGAAGGGTATCAGTGCGGCAAGATACATTTCATTAAAATATAATTTATTACAACATTAAAATACTTGTACATTAAATTCATTAAAATAGAAGTTAATAATACAACAACAATATACAGTTATACAATATTATACAGAATAGACTTGTCTTCATGGTAATTACGGAAAATGAAAGAATTTAGTAAAATCTTTATTTTAATAATTCTTTATTGATATCAAGTAAAAATGCTTTTGATAGATTATCAAAAATAGAGCCTTTATCGTGTCCCCAATGAACATCTACATCATCCAACGTGTTTTCTTAAAATTGAAAGTTGTAAAACACTGTTAACAATGACATCCGGGCATTCTTATAAACTTCAAAAAACATACTCCGTTGTGTTGTTGTGGATGGAGTAAATAAGCCGTGTTCAAGAGTATCTTTTTCTGAGAGAAAAGTATTACAAAACCAATCTGACAATCCCATCCTTTCAAGATGAGAATTCAAACCCAAACATTTTGGCTCAAGCTCTAAATTTGATTTGCTGAATGTAAAAGTCCATTCTTACCCATTGTTCATTTGAAATATTAAAATAAGATGTGTACTATAAGTTATTCAATGATTCGAGTGAAATACAGAATACAATATGTATATTCTTCCCGAGAAGGTCTGTAATTCATGATGCGCTAGCAGAGGTGAAACAGAAATATGCTATGAGAGTAGCAGAATGACAGTATGGTAAAATAACCATTTTGGAATATCAAATAAGCATGTACTTTTATGTGATAACAGACTTATGCTCTCTTTTGAGAGAATCTGAGGAGCAGAAGTGTGATTCTGATTATTGGTTTACTAGTTCAGTAAAATCAATCAAAGCAGATTGAGTACTGTTATCTATGGATTTTGCAAAACACTGGCACATGTCTGCCAAAATCTAAGAACTCTCTCTTTCTAAAGGTTTTTATTTGATAATATTTCGTAATTTATTATTTGAGTTCTATGCGTAACACTTAATTTCCCGTCCCTGAACAATATTAAAGAATACACATTTTTAAGCTTTCCAATGGTGTCGTGCAAGTGGGTAAATGTTTCAAATCATGACAAAAATCGTATGCCATGTTGTAAGTCTACAAAAACGTTCCGTCATCTTTTTAGATCCATTACATTTAATTCTTAATTCGGAACCTTCTGCAAGGGAGATTAAAGAAGATAAGATATGGTGTGATGTAGTGCGAAATATGAAAATTTTGCCAAATTAATGAATCATGCATTTTTTATGCATCAAACTTCTATATTAAACCACCAGTGTATGAATCTGTATATTCTGCATGTCATTACAAAGTCCTTGTTGTATTAACCATGGGCTTTCAACTAGAGTTGAAAGCCCATGTATTAACTGATGATCTAGTTACTTCATGTAATGACATGCCAAAACTGTCTCACCAAAGCACCTCGTTGCAAGTCACTGAACATGGATGTTATTTTATAAATTTCACAACTTTTTATTGTAGATATAATGCATATAAAGATTTATATATCATTTCAAAGCCCTGTTTGTTGGCTATCTGATTTTCTAACTTTTTGGGGAGTATATAGTATATAGGACAAAGTACATGTTTGCCATTTCTGTCTGCGTGAAACTTGGTGAAACTTTGTCAAATTGTTCAGTTTTAACGGGAAATATGACTGATATAATGTCTATACACCATTTTTAATCTCTGTTTGTCTCATATCTGATATTCTTACTACTTTATGTAATGATATAACAAAACTGACACTGAATATGGATCGTTATGGAGTAAAATTCACAACCTTTCGTATTGTTCAGTTTTTATTGTAAAGGTGATACATATATTTCAGTTTCACACCCAGGTAGTAGACCCCATGGGTCAAAGGAGCTCTGTTCAAAGAGAATTATTCAAGATGGCAGCTGTTTTCAAAATGGCCACCATTTTTCGTAAAAAACATAATCTTTGATAACTCAAATACCAGTGGATGAATTTGGTTAAAATATTATATGTTGTTGATATGTTGTTGATACATTGTACTTACAATGTAAATTAAGACAAAAGAGCTCTGTTTAGTAAGAAATTTTCAAGGTGACTGCTATTTATCATCACACTACTCTATGGAGTTGCTGTCTTCTAGTTTAATACAATGTGGTGGCATAATCAGGCATGAAGAGGGGAAGCAAATAATCCACCAGAAATCTTGAGAATAAATCCACTCACTCAGACTTTTTTTCCAAATGAATCTGTAAAACTGAATTCTTATTTAATTTCTTTTGATAGTAGTATTTTACTCCCTATATTTGGCTTGCTTTTTAGATTTGCAAAAGGACATTTTTCATTCCTAACTTTGTCCTGGGGAGTGCATTCTTTTGATCATCGTTTTTTTTATAATACAGTATTTTTGCTTCAGACTGTGATGAACAAATACAGAAAGAGCTTCAAAAGTTTGCTACCCTGGAGGAAGAAAAAGAAAGAGTAAGCCAAATACCCAAGACAGACCCAGAATTTCTCAAGTGAGCAACATTGTTGTACCATTTATCACTTTCATTCACAGTAAGCAAATGTTGCAGGTTAACAAATGCTAAATGTTGTCAAATGTTTAAGGTCAATAAATGCTACATGCTGTCAAATGTTTGGGTTATCAAATGGTACATCTTGTCAAATGTTGCAGGTTAACAAATGCTAAATGTTGTCAAATGTTTGAGGTCAATAAATGCTACATGCTGTCAAATGTTTGAGGTCAATAAATGCTACATGCTGTCAAATGTTTGGGTTATCAAATGCTACATGTTGTCAAATGTTTGGGTTATCAAATGGTACATGTTGTCAAATGTAGTAGGTTAGCAATTGCTAAATGTTGTCAAATGTTTGAGGTCAATAAATGCTACATGCTGTCAAATGTTTGGGTTATCAAATGCTACATGTTGTCAAATGTAGTAGGTTAGCAATTGCTAAATGTTGTCAAATGTTTGAGGTCAATAAATGCTACATGCTGTCAAATGTTTGGGTTATCAAATGCTACATGTTGTCAAATGTTTGGGTTATCAAATGGTACATGTTGTCAAATGTTGTAGGTTATCAAATGCTACATGTTTGCAAATATTTGGGTTATCAAATGCTACATGTTTTCAAATGTTGCAGGTTATCAAATGCTACATGTTGTCAAATGTTGTAGGTTATGAAATGCTACATGTTGTCAAATGTTGTAGGATATCAAATGGTACATTTTGTCAAATGTAGGTTATTAAATGCAACATGTAGTCAAATGTTGTAGGTTATCAAATGCTACATGTTTGCAAATATTTGGGTTATGAAAAATGCTACATGTTTTCAAATGTTGCAGGTTATCAAATGCTACATGTTTGCAAATATTTGGGTTATCAAATGCTACATGTTTTCAAATGTAGGTTATCAAATGCTACATATGTTGTCAATTGTTAGAGGTCAACAAATGCTATATGTTGTCAAATGTTTGGGTTATCAAATGCTACATGTGGTCAAGTGTAGGTTATCAAATGCTACATGTGGTCAAATAATGTAAGTAAACAAATGCTACACCTTGTCAAATGTTGCAGGTTAACAAATGCTACATGTTGTCAAATGTTGCAGGTTATCAAATGTTACATGTTGTCAAATAATACATGTTATTTCATGCAACATGTTGTCAAATGTTGCAGGTTATCTGTTGAGCTTGAGATGCTGAAAGATGACAGCTTGGAAGGTTTGTGCCAGGCCCTTAAACAGCAGCTACAGCAGTTAAAGCAACAGCAGTGGCAACAGCAGCTGCATCAACAGCATAAACAGAGAGTTCTTACACAGGGAAACAAGGTATTTCCAAGCTTTTTGATGCGAAAGGATTTGTAGATAGAAAACATAACTCTTAATGTCAGGTGATGAAGTTAAGTTACTGACATTTTTTCACACATTGAACACAATATTATTTCAATCTCGTTGTGAAATACCCTTGATGTTCAATAGACATATTCTTTTAAATAAGCAAAATCAAACTATTAGAAAGGGTATAATGAGTAATTGACAAAGCTTATCTGAAAATATCTCCATTTGTTGCAGGGTAAGATTCACAACTTACAACTCAACATCTTTTATTTGGTTGATTGATGAAAAAATTTTACAGAATAAACAAGACAGGAACAAATTAAGGTGTAAATTAACTCTGATTGAGAAATCACCCACCACCCCAGAGAACATACCCAATTTTTCATTAAGAATTGAGCTTTTTACAGACAGCGAAAAATTGGAATTTACAATTGTTCACTTCTAGGTTCCTAAATTAGTGTCAAGTAGCCAGGCTCCTCATAGTAACACCAAGTCAGTGCGTAACTTCCAGTTTAAAGCCCGGGGGTTGCACAACGTGAAGGTACCCCAATGCCAAACACCTATTGAGGATGAGGGACAGCCAGGGTTTGTTCCAGCCTCTGCAGTGTTTACTGAATACCATTCAAGAACACAAGGTGGAAAATCACTTATTGTGAGCAGTACTCAAGAAGATCTGAAAGGAGAGGCTGTAAAACGGAACAATGAGTACAGTTCCCAGAATGGATATGGATCTATGGAAAAGAAAAGGAAACAAGATGGGAATCATGTTGTCAGTACAAATGCTAAACCAAATAATCCTAAACAGCCAAACATTCACAAGTTGTCTGAGCGCATGAAACAGGTTGGTTCCTTAATTTTAAATGCCTAATGGTGATCTTTATCCCTGATACTGACTTCTTAGAGTGACATTGATTTAGCATGAGCAGACTTTATCCTCCAAGGCTATCAGGATAGTCATACTCTTTCACATTAAGGTGACTGTTAGTCTAATTAAGTCTCAGTTAAAATGCTTTGTTACAATGTAACCTTAGAAACTTTAAGCGATGTATATGCTTCCAAAAAACAAAGGGATGTCATAAAACTTTAGAATGTTTAATTATTATTTTCAGAAAGGTCTCAATGTTTTCTCAGACTTTGATGAAGTTAATGATGCAGAGGTGTTGTATTGTGAGTCAGACTCTCCAACAGGTGGCTCTGGTGGATGTTTTGGCTCTTTGTCACCAGTCGTCAGTAATAATGAAAGAACTAAAACATGTAAGAATGAAGGGCTCATTTCTAGCACGATTCAACCAGGTATATCCAGGATATCATTTTTTGTAGAAAGTCCATAAATAGGGTTAGGGCATTTAGGAATAAGATCAGCTTAGCAAAGGGAGTAATCAAAATATTGATGCGATTCTTTTATGTCAAGCCCACTTTCCTTAGGTCACATCCATGAAAATATTAATTCATTTCAAAACTTATGTCATTTCATTGTCCATGTGCTTTTATAAAGAGGCAGGAAGGGTATCATCACAGAAAAATTTGTACAAGAAATCTTTGACTATCCCCTTCAACTTACTTAAATCGTTTATATGTAATTTGGCAGGTGATTTACGTATATCTTTACTGATACATGTCCAAAGAGAAAATATCAAAAATGAGCATAAGAATGAATTATGAATTATCAAAAATATCCAATGTAACAAAAATGATCATATTAATTCCAAAAGGTTTACTGTAATAAATATCTCTTTTGGCTAATTACAGGATTTGGGAAAGAGCCTGCCAATGATGACATTGGGGATGGACAGAACCAGAAAAAAAGTCAGATTTAGATAGACTTGTAACATTTCTGACATTTTACAAAAACTAGTCGAAGAGAACTATCCATGAGGCACCAGTATACTGGTATAGAAATATTGAAAATATTCTTTTTACCATATTCGAGAGAATGGAGGAGATATCCACCGGAAGTGGTGTCCATAATCCCAAGAATTAGTTCTGGACACTTATTTGATGTAAAGTTTTGAATGAATTTTGATCTCCAGATGAAGATAGATGGAAACAACAGACTAGAGCGGATGCTGTCTGGGATCATGCGTATATGGGGAATACATGTTCTTCCTGTACATATCCATGATATCTGTTTGACTAGATATCCAGTTTTCTCTACATATACATTTCAATGTTAATACCCTCTGTATCAAAAGTCTTTTCCTATTTAGGAAAACCTCAAATAACTTTCGTAAATGGCAAGTAAACGTGATAAGACTTTTCATACATAATTTAAGGCATAATACACCTTCTGTGTAAATTTGGAGACAGTTGATTAATTTTTACTCAAAATATCACATTTAGAACATAGCATATACCTAGAACACCGATGTGACTTTTTCCAATTTTGTGACGTCAAACTTACCTCGGATCGCCAAACTGACCAAAATCACTTTAAATTAGGTTGCTCTGTAAAAGTACGCAGACAAAGGTCTTTATATATAAAATGCTAATTATTACTCTGGATGTCCCCATACAGCCCTAGACCATGTTATACTACACTTAACCCTTTCCTGCCGAAAAATATTTGAAGAATTCATCACAATAAGCACTGCTATCATTAATATGTCAATGTTCGATGCATTATGATTCAGAATTATTGCAATAAAATGAAAATATGATAGATTCGTTTGAATTAAATACAAAAATTACATCAAGAATATTTAGAAGATAAACCCGTGAGAAAATCAAATTGACACATTAGTCACAAATTTATTCTAATTGATGTCATTGGGCAGGAAAGGGGTAAGTATTAAGAAAATACTGCATAACAGTGAACATTGAGGCAACATTGTTGACACAGCAGGTGTAAGGACTTTTGCATTGTTATTATACAGCTTTCTCATATGACTAACAAAGATACAGCCATCTTTACCCCATGCAAGATATTGCCATCTTTCATCCTAAAAAGTCACACTTGCAAGATGAGATTTACTTGTGACATCACTGGTCTATAAACATCAACAACATGGCAACGGACCCGCCAAGTCTATATATAGATATTATAGGCACAAAAGCTTTCGAACCACTCACTCCCTTCGGTCGTTCTGGGTACAGAAAACATTTGTGCCTAGCCCTGCGGGGTGTATTCGACAATATAACCCCTGCTCTTCGGTCTATATTTCTTAAGTCTATAACATATTCTGATTGCTCATAATTAGCATTTTATATACAAATTATAAATACCTTTGTCCGCTTAGTTTTACAGAGCAGCCAGACTTTGGTCAGTTTGGCAATCTTGAGTAAGTTTGACATCACAAACTTGGAAAAGTCACATCGTTGTTTTTGGTATGTGCTATGTTCTGTATGTAATATTTTGTGTAAAAATTAATCAATTATCTTAAAATTTCCGGATAGTGTGTATTATATGCCTTAAAGTATGTATGAAAAGTTTCATTAGTTTACTTGCCATTTACAAAAGTTATTTGAGGTTTTCCTTAATAGGAAAATACTTTTTTTGATACAGAGGGTATGTGTTTATCTATGATTGATAGTTTCATTTGCTAAGGATGCAAACATTTTATTTATGTTTGTCATATTATCATAAAATAAATAACATACAAAAAATAGTTGTAGTTATTTGCATTTCAAAACATGACCACTGTCATGTCTACGGTATATCCATCAGATTCAAAGTCCATCATTTTGTAACAAGGAAGCTTGTCTTGTATCTCAAAAAATCGAAAATAAATAGAATACAAAAAGGGGAAGTCATCAATGCTGCTCAAGTGTCTCAATTCTATTCATTACATTTTCTTCAAAATAAAATAATAGAAAATAGAAATAAAACATGTATAAATTAGGAATGGAGAGGCATTAGTTGTGGAAAAGATTGGTATCGATATGGCGAACTGAATTCAACATTGCTTTTCTCTTGAACCAATTATTGAAAACATTCTGTAAAAAACAAGGATTGACTGATTGACAATTTAATGCGAAAATTATTTAAAATTATTTAAATATATTTTTTATAACTGTTTTTGTTAACATTTTTTGATTTTTAGTGCAATTGTTTTTTGTTCCTTTCTACCAATTCTTGAGAAATTGCACAACATTCAGCAGTTCATTTTTTATCTCAAAATGGTGAGCCTATGAAATAATACATATGTAGGGTTAAGATTTTATAAATGGAAGTCAGGTTTAATATGTATGGTTTTATTAGTGCAACCAAAAATACATGTACATAATACATGTAATACAGTGTACCTTTTACAATTCTACCCGTCTCATGAATTTTAAGACACAGAAAGAATACAACAGCTCATTTGAATCAATGCTCATATACATTCTTTGAGGGTCAATATGGGTAGTCTATGGTATGCCCCTGTTCCATTGTCATTGGTCCCATTTTTTTCCTTTAGGAGAAATCAGTTTTTTCACCATATGAGCCAATCAATTGGTCCCATTTTTTCAAAATAAAGCATAATGATTAAAACTCAATGATATAAACAATTTTAGATGATTTACATCATAAAATATTCAAAATTCAGTCAAAGTAATCAAGGGGTCCCAACAACCACCATTTATTTAAATTTTAGACCTCAGGTGTTTGAAAATCAAGGATTGTGAGACTCATACTGCACCGTTTTTCTTCAAACTTGTTCCATTCAAAGGAAAACAAAAATGCTATTCATGTTGCTTTATTGTACAGAGTCCCTCGCTTTAGCAGCGTTTGGGTCCTCAGCTGTGAGAAGCGCTTCTCACACCTAAAAGGAGGGACTCTGTATAAGAGTATAATGTACCAACAGAAAGGCATTTTTGATTTGCTATTAATGGAACAAGTTTGAAGGAAAACAGTGCAGTTTGAGACTCACAATCCTTAAATCAAACCAGAGGTCCATGAATACTCCACGCTGAATATACCAAATCATCTAAGATCATCTAGCCTCCCATTTTCTGGATTGTATACCAGCTACCAATATACTTATACACGGGGGATAAGCAAAACGAGGGCGAAGCCACGGACTGCGACTCGCGTAACTTTACACCGCAGCCCAGCGCCAAAATGGAGGGACATCCGGCAGTGCCTACTGCTTCTTCCGACAAAATAGAGAAATCCAGGAATTTTAAATGCTATCGTATTGTCTAATCGGTGACCAAAATATTACTCTGTATCTACTGTTGGTCTGTAGATAAGAAAATAAGCAGTTGTCCAGATCAAGCTAAAACAGTAGCAAAGTTCTGATTTTACCTGTAAAATATGTGCATATTATTTAATTTACTATACACTTGAAAGGAGTTTTAACACGTTTCTGATATCTAAAGGTTAGTTGAGGCTCCGAGTATAATTCGTGAAAATGATTTGATAATAGAATGTGTTCATGAGGAGAAAATTAGATTCAAACTGCGCATTCATAGTGGACGCAGTCCAGTAAACAAAGCTATTTCAACAACGCAACACAGCCTCCATTGATATTCTAAGCAACGCAGTCCAGCCGCGAACACGAAATAAATAAGAAAGTGTAAACTATATTCCTACGCTATTATTGTTTCAGGAAAAGAAAGTCAGCATCCAGATTATCATTCAAAGTTACGTTGATTAACATATATCTATTACCTGAATCAATGTCCCAAATTGCTATATTGTATCGTTTAAGACCTAGAAATATGGCAATTCAATAGCATATTTGGCAGAACAGTCGAGCGCAAGATGACAACGTAATATGTTTATTACAAACCAATTTGTGGATAGGATTAAATATATAGATAATTGGATAGTGGTGAGACTTTTTATAAGAAGTAGAAATGCGAAACAATTAACTTTTTGATGATGCAATAAAAGCTGTTGGGGAAGGGTACATTAACTATATCTAGTATTTAAGATATCAGGAAAATATCAAATAATTGGAGAGTTGGTGAGTTAATGTAATTTTGGATGATCTTTCCAACAGTCCATCAATATTGCTAGCTACCACAAATTCATGATTTCAGCTGTATTTGACAGCTTGTATATATTTGCAGAATGGATTGAGACACGATGTAAGTCTATTAAAATAGCCCTTTATATTCAATTTTGTCCAAAGTTGCTCTATTTCGGCCACACCTGTACACACATTGTGCTATCTACCTTTGGCTGTGATTGCGTTCAGCTTCAGATATAAAGCAACACTGAGTCGTGGACTGCGTTGGACAGATGGATGGACTGCGACTATCAAAAATTCCAATTGTCTATGTAATTGTACGTTTTCCGCTTACCAAATATCACACGAAGATGTAATTGTAACAACAGAACATGAATAATTATATTAATTCGATGTCATTTCTGATTCCTTTGTTTAAATCGGTATATTAGGGACAAATATTGACAAAATTACATTTTTTGTGGCAGATTTCAAATTCATTTGTGATCATGCTAAACTATTGGACAGCCGAGCACCAAGAATGCCATTGCAGGTGGAGTATGAATATGTTGATCACCGACTGGAACATACTAGCTATTCTGTAGAATATCCAAACCAATAATCTACCCCAAATCCTAACATGCCTTCCAAATTAAGTTTGGACTTACCGCCATTGTTCAGCTATAATGCGTTGTAATCTCGTTTTGAATTACGCGAGTCGCAGTCCGTGGCTTCGCCCTCGTTTTGCTTATCCCCCGTGTTATAACTTATAAAAATATTCATAAAATATTTTTTGACCTATTATACTTTATATAAAAACAGTAAATTTTTGGGGAGGGGGCTTATACTTTATCTCCATTAAGTTCCTTGAACAAGAACCACTCCCCTCCAAGTACAGGGTGTCCCAAAAAAGTGTACCGAGATGAACATGGAATAATTCTGCGAGTAATACAGAAATTTGAAACATTTCACTAGGTAAAGCTGTTTAGTTGTAAATAAAGGTTTGTGTTTTGGTACCATGTTGCACTGAGACAAGCAGGGAATAACTCTGTAAGCAAGGAAAAAAGAAATTCTTGAAATTCACTCATCTGACGGATAATTTAATTATCTGAACGTTTATTTTGGTAACTTTTTTTAAATTTAGATAAACAAAAGCTTGTTTCAGTATCATCATTCACTTTTCAATGATTGAAATTGCATTCATTTCTGCATTGATCAAGATGAAGGTAGGGCATGTCATCTAAAATATTAAATTTCTCAAAAATGCACAAATTTCTACAAATTTTTAAATGCTTATTGAACAAGGCACAGACGTGAACAATATCGTACCTAAAACACAGCATTGTGGTCTTGTTGACCAAGAAAGCAAGATGGCGGCAGAAAAGTTAATCAGCTCTAGAACTTATCACTGTGTAACATATGTAAAAATTTGATCGGTTTGGCTGGAAACCTGTAGACAAGTCTTGAAAGTGAAGATTTTAGGACGGAAAATCCAAAATGGCCACCTTAAAATTTACCCAGAATGCCCAAAAACCAATCAGTTCTTGACGTTGATATGTAGAAACATCCCTGAAAATTTCAGATGAATCCCTCAACAGGTTGGGCTGAAAATCTGTAGACAAGTCTTGAAGTCTTGAAAGTAAAGATTTAAGGACAGAAAAATCCAAAATGGCCACCTTAAAATTTACCCAGAATGCCCAAAAACTAATCAGTTCTTGACGTTGATATGTAGAAACACCCCTGAAAATTTCAGATGAATCCCTCAAATGGTTTGGCTGAAAACCTGTAGACAAGTCTTGAAAGTGAAGATTTTAGGACGGAAAATCCAAAATGGCCACCTTAAAATTTACCCAGAATGCCCAGAAACTAATCAGTTCTTGACGTTGATATGTAGAAACATCCCTGAAAATTTCAGATGAATCCCTCAAATGGTTTGGCTGGAAACCTGTAGACAAGTCTTAAAAGTGAAGATTTTAGAACGGAAATCCAAAATGGCCACCTTAAGATTTAACCAGAATGCCCAAAAACTAATCAGTTCTTGACGTTGATATGTAGAAACATCCCTGAAAATTTCAGATGAATCCCTCAAATGGGTTGGCTGGAAACCTATAGACAAGTCTTGAAAGTGAAGATTTTAGGACGGAAAATCCAAAATGGCCACCTTAAGATTTACCCAGAATGCCCAAAAACTAATCAGTTCTTGACGTTGATATGTAGAAACATCCCTGAAAATTTCAGATGAATCCCTCAAATGGTTTGGCTGGAAACCTGTAGACAACCTGAAAAGTGAGACACCGCCCGCCCGCCGCCCGCCCGCCCGTCAAGCTGACTACAATATCGTACCTTTTGTTAGGTACGATAAAAAAGAATGATGAAGGAAAGATGAGTTATTCCCATCTCATTTGGTTATACTTTTATAGGACACCCTGTAAAACACCAAAATGATTGAACAATTTGGTACAAATATAGCACTTTGTAACATGATTATCAAATATACAAATCTGATAAGAAAATGTTTCAGCATTACTGGAAATGTACAACTGAGAAAGTAGCTATTCTTGTCATGCATGTTATATGAATAACACATACATATTTAGGGAACCTCAAATTGAAATATTGCAAGAAGAACTGTTCTTAATTTTTCATCAACTTTGTATGACTCATCAGCATTAGAAGTCATTCATTTAATCAGTCATGCTGTGGACAGCTGATACTGATGATTAAGTAGGCTAGTAAAATATGAATTATATCACTCAAAATCATGTGATATATTATGGTACTAAAATTTGGTTATGTACATGTATGTCCCTATACAACAGGATACATATGCAGTGTAACTTGATATGATAGATATGATATGATAGAGTGCTGTAAATATCAGCAGTACAGAAGTAATAGGTAAATCATAGCATTCATAACTAGAAAGGATTCTACTATGAAAACTGACATAAGGCTGTTATGTATGATGTCTTTTGCTAGTTAGTAATATTATCATTAATAAGTACAAGTTAGGCCCATTATTACTTATAATGCACATCTCAGGCCATGATGTTTATCTTATTTTAATCACTGAGCACATTATCATTGTTACAAGGTTGAATTTACCTGAATCATTTTTGGCAGTCATAACCAGCGATACCTGTTCATGTACACGATGCATATTAGTTTATTTTGACATATTTGTGAGAAATTCAAAAATTGAAAAATCCATTTCATATGTATATTGTATAGATGCCCTTTCTGCATGTATGCAATGCATATTCTGGGTTATCAATTCCTACCCCTACTTTGATAGACACTCATATAACTAGAAACACAATACAAGCATTTATAATAGAGTTTTAAAATACTAAAATATTTTTTTTACAAACTGAAATCTTTTTTTCACAAATAAAATGAGACCAAGTCTGGTTTTTGAATGGTCAAATATAAAGATATAGGGATGCATGGTGTCCGCATGAATGAAACGCTGCGTCGTGCATGCAAAAGTGTTTGAGTTGGACACCGTGGGATGAATAACAAGAAAAACAATCAATCAAGTTATTCCTCTCTAAATCATGTAAATGATACATAGTTGTTCATCCAAAAACATTTCTCGTCTGTCAATATTAGCATAAGCCAAAACCCAGACTTGGAGGAGATTTTACATAAAGAATTATTTTTCTCCAGGTAAAAGGTCTATCTCAGAGTAATTCTCTGTGGGCAGATACCGAGAACTTTTCTTTGAGTTCACATCCATTATCTGGCTATACTCAGCATCCTGGTCTATGACCTCATCTGGTATCTTACTATCTATATCTGCATATGTGTCACTAACTGCACTGGCTGTTGCATATTCATTTCCAACTGAATATGCACCATCAATTTTGTTGCCATCAGGGTGTTTATCAAGTTTGTTATAAAGATCAGATGTGGCTGCTGTGATACCCGCGCTATTTATATTGGGTGGCTTGGCTTTTTTGTTTGGTTTACTTTTGTTGAATGATATACGATCATAAGTGTCTAATTCATCTGGTGGAGTAGCTTTAACTTCATTCAGAGCTTCAATACTACTATCATTGCCTTTACTCACATCTTTAATTTCCTTTTTTCCTTTTTTGGTTTTATCCACTAAGGTATAACTAGGCACTTTCACAGTAGGTTTTGGTGAAATTAATGCAGGTTTTGGTTTGCTCGGTTTAGTATTTTTAGTTTCTTGTACTGACTTCTCAATGTGAATATTGTCTGTCTCCATGGCAAATGTCTTCCAAGCCTCTTGCCGTTCTTCCAGTTCTGCATACATTTCACCTTGTGGCTCCTCCATGGTTAACATTTTCTCCCCAGAAGGACTCAACAGATGTTTGCCAGCTGCAAGATCGTACACAGCATACTGCGATTCTTTTTCAAGTGTAGAATGTGGACTTCTGAATTTCTCTGTTGTTGGTTCAGCCCCGACCTCTGAAAGTTCATAATTTCCAGACACAATACGCTCATTACTTCCAGGTTTTATATTTGCTTCAACTTGTGGTTTCACCAAAGTAGGTATAGAAGGACTAGTATTGGTTGAAATTTTGCCTGTAGCTGGGGATTTTATTTTTAATTTTGATTCCAGTTCATCTCTGATGATACTTGCTTGTACTTCATTCTCAGATTTTCTTCTTAGACTCCCCAATTTCCCAACTGTTAATGAAACTTCACTGGTCTCATTATTTACTGCATTCTTGTTTTTATTTGCTCCCTTTGTGTAAGTGGGTAATAGAATAGCTTCAGCTTCCTTATTAGAATCCTTTTCCTTTTGCTGCCTGTCTTTTATTTCCTTCACCCGTTTGACAATTCCTTCGAATATTTCATTTCCAAAGTCTGTTGAGAGAGAAAATAGTCCTGGACCTGATGGGCATCGTCGCCCTGCCTCAAAAGTGAAGTTCTGTTCATTGCGACCATAGCGACGGAGATAACGGAATGGCCAGACATATAAGATAATAGATGTTTTTGGATCGAGGATACAGAAGTTCATAGATGATATGAGAAGGTCGTATTTTCCAGATAGTTGGCAGCGTTTGGAGGCCTCTGTTTCTGTGATAGTCACCTCAAACTTTGGCCCTGAATAATACAATAATACAAAAAACTAAATTTAATAACATGACATAAAATGATCTTATTATATTTTGCTATATATTCAATCTCTTTTACGAGGTTCTTCAAACAAAAGTTAGAGACAGCTATGTATGGATAATGCATGATAAAGTATAATGAGACGCCATTGCTCCTATATCTGGAATACTGGGCACCTTGCAGAAATCAGTATATTGTCTTAACTATATGAATTACAAAAGGTTTAATTGTGTGAAAGTATGCAAGAATGATTGTTCTAAAATATTCAGTTAAAAAGAAGTATTCCAGGAAATCTTTATTGTCTCATAGAATCAAGAATGCACTCTTTTACCAGAAAGAAAATCCATGATAAATTGGAAAATATTCCAAATAATGAACAGTATAGATTTCTATTGCTTTATGTTTTCTCAAAAATAGTTCAGTAAACTGACTTATTCAGTTCTTGGGAATATAAATCATTTGTTTGAATCAAGTATGCACCTAGTATTTATTGACATTTTCTCAAGTGTTTTGTTTGGAAACTCATCAAGAAACAAGGAAACTACTGACAAAGGACAAAAACAATATAATTTGAAAATCTAATATCCAAATATTCAACTTCACATCAAGAGCTTACATGGATTGAAACAAACACTTACAAAATTTAACCAAAAACTTCTGCCAAAAATAATAAAAAATTACCTAACAGTATCAAATTTAAGGTGCTATGGAAGTTAACAGGAAATGACAAAACAGGAAGTGACAATTTTTTTGCATTTTTAGATATTTTTTTAACAAAGATAACAGAGTTCTGGTTTGACCTCCAGTCAATTTAACTATTTCCACATATCATTTACATGACCAGGATCACAATGTGCATGGTCAGAATGACCCTAAACATGATGAAATAACCTTTTTAGCCCTTTGAAAGTGTGACTGAAAAAAAGCTAAAAGTAGGAGCGTAGGGATAGTCACTGAACAGAATCTTTTGAATTTTTCAGAAAATGTGCCCAATATAATGCTCTAACTAGTACAATCTTTGAAATTTTAGAAAATTGTCTTAAACATAAATGGCGGTCATAAAAAGGAAAATAGATCGCTTTTCAAATCAGTTTTTTCATTTTTTTTTTCTTTTTCTATGAATGATATCAAATTTTCAAAGTTTGTATCATTTAGAGCAATATATTGGGCACATTTTCTGAAAAATTCAAAAGATTCTGTTCAGTGACCTTCCCTACGCTCCTACTTTTAGCTTTTTTTCAGTCACACTTTCAAAGGGCTAAAAAGGTTATTTCCTCATGTTTAGGGTCATTCTGACCATGCACATTGTGATCCTGGTCATGTAAATGATATGTGGAAATAGTTAAATTGACTGGAGGTCAAACCAGAACTCTGTTATCTTTATTCAAAAAATATCTAAAAATGCAAAAAAAATTGTCACTTCCTGTTTTGTCATTTCCTGTTAACTTCCATAGCACCTTAAGTGAACATTTTGCCAAGTTTGAAAATAATGTTGACAATATGAAAAAAAATGAATTAAAACTGATTAAAAATTCTAAAAAGCTTATTTTCAATTTTACAGATTTAAGTTTTAAATCATGCGAATTATACCAGAGTATTGCCAATTTGAAGTAAGCAATTTTGAGCCATTATGACATTGCAAAAAATCAACAATATGTATTTTGGCATTTTGACTCTCATGCCGTGGGGACCAGGGGTTTGAGGGGTTCAACCCTCCATCATAAATCCACAAAATTGCCCCTAGACTACTTCCATAAACTAAATTGGATAAAATTCAACATTCTATGGAAGGAAGGAAGGATGGATGGATGGATGGATGGATGGATGGATGGATGGGTGGGTGGGTGTTTGGATGGATGGATGGGTGGGTGGGTGGGTGGATGGATAATAATCTCCAATTGTACAAAGTGGAGATGAATTTCAAAACAAGAATGGAATATACTTCAAAAACCTTTGAATACAAAAAAATTGTTTTAATCAAATCTGTGAACAATCATTGTATGTGTCAGTCTCTGATAAATAAACAGGATATGACAAATCAGAGCAACATACAGGGTATCCTGGTGCACAGATTCATAAAGCAAAGAAAACAAATCTTACAACTGAATGTCTTGACATAAAACCTTTTTGTACAATGGCCCATATTCCCCTGATAGAATCATGTTAGACTTCTACATTAATGAATATCTGAAAACAATATTCGTTAGAAGTTCAAGATAAATGAGACTGGGATGGAAGCCAATGTAGTCAGCAATCTGAGAGATGGACAGTAGTGGTTTTGTCAAGTCTTTGAATAATAACTTTTTCATTTTGAAACAATATGTCATGACAGTTGCAGGATAAATTGTTATAATGTCATTCTACAATCTGTATTAATTTCATCTCACAACAGGCAAAACTTTTGAAATTAGAGCACTTGTATCTTTACTTTCCGGACACTCTGTACATGAACATGATATTCAGCAGCATGATGGGAAAAAATTGGATAACTTCACTTTTGTGTCATCTTGACCTGATGTGAACTTTCCAAGATCATGATTTTTTCTAGAATTTTTTCATGATCATGATGACATAAAAATAATTACATTGTCTAGATGTAATCATCCGTAGTGAAGATTATAAGTAAAACTGAGAACAACTTGAGTATTTTAAAGACAAGTGTAAAGTCCTCCACAAAACAGACTTTCTTCTTTTGTATCTCATATTATTGATTGAATACTTAATTTGTAATTGTAGAGCATGGACATTGGACAATGCTTAAAGCACAGGCACTTACACAGTATTATATGTTTTGCTGTATTCTTTGTACAATGAAGGACTTAATAATAAATAAATAAAATAATAATAAATAAATAAAAAAAGGTAAATAAAAAATAGGAGTCAGAATAGAAGACTAATTGTCATCTGATTTTTTGTGAAGCACAATAAACCCTTGACCATCAAACATTTGCCCTATCATGAACAACTTTTATTTTTGATTTGTTCAAAGTTGGATGATAAGAGAATTAGAAGATTTAATGCTGATCTAATCTGATTACACATAAGTTTTTTATGTACTAATTATAAAATGTAGTCATGAAACTTGCATTCAACATGCCAAGATTAAGAGGGAATGTGGCGAAGCTACAATGTACAATACAATACATGCAATATACTAGATATAGTCATACAATTAACAATATAATACGATATATGCAATACACAAAGCAGTTGAATGTCAAAATTGAGAACTAAGCCACTTAACCCAAATTAGTATTCATAAATCCCAAGCTTTATCATAATATGGTGTTGTGTCTAACCAATAGTCACGATTCAGAATTTATTTTTAAATTCACTTCCTCTTTCCTTTAAAGCTCAAAGAAAGTAGGATGTTAACCATTTTTATCGATACAGGGAACTTCAATATATTGATGTCAAATAAATACTCAAGAATATATTTACAGTCCGGTTTCAGACCCCCCCCCCATCCCCAACCTCTTGAACCAATTTTCTTACAAGTGCAAAATTATCATTATTTACGTATTACTCTACCTTAATTAGTCAACCAATGCCATTACTAAAAATGATGAAAATCATTTTCTCTAGTATCAAACATTTAATAAAATATTTTACGAGACATATCTTAAATATGTTTGTTATTATTCAAAATAGTCAAATGAAAATTGATCAATCTATCGTTATTCAAGTGCAAGGGAATTTTTGATATATCTGCCATGTTATCTGACTCAAGTTACTAGTAACTTCTTACTGGCACCTGGATAATTGAAACACATGTATAAAAAAAATAAGTCTAAATCATAAGTATCATTAAGTTCCTGAATTGAAAACTGTATGTACATGTATTTAAGCTTCAGTAATTGTCTTAATTCGACCTCAAACTACATGATAGTACATGTATGTCATTCTAACACTTTTTTCTGGTGACACTCAAAATCTATATGTTAACACATACTAAGGATCAATGTCACATAATCTCAAGGTTAACTTTTGAAAAGTAACAAAGGTAAAATATCTTTTCAAGTTTCAACTTGAGTTAGTGATGAGGAAAAAAGATGAACACATGAAAATAATTACCTGTATTTGCACTTTCATAGAGCACATTCTCATCAAAATCGAGATCTTCGGATGCCATTGAAGCTGGCCTGTTTTCAACACTGTCATCTTCCTTGTTCGGTAAAGCATTCTGACGCATCATCAGATCTAAGATCAACCCTTGGCCACCAACAGGGGGTGTTGGTGTTAATGAGCTTTCAATTGGCTGAACTGATGTTACATCTAAATTTTTTATAACCTTTTGAATAACTGCTAGCCAGTCTGTGAAGTTCTGAAATTCATCTATGATGAATTTGACTGATTTATCCTTTGAACTTTTCTCCTTTGAGGAACTAAAGATAATTTCAAATGATTTCTCCTTGTCTTTATCTGTTGTTAAAGGTTTCACTTCAGTGGCATCCTCTAGGGATATTGTTTTGAGCTTGTGTGATGGACCCTTCAGGTGCTCTTCTTCTGTGTTGTAGACCTCTATTCTTGGTGAATATTTGTTGATAGTTTGGATGAGTAACACATATCGCCTGTGCCAGGATCTCTAAAAGCAAACATTCACATCAATGAAACATCTGACAGAATTAATCAAAGGAAGAATCAGATCAAGCAAGCAAGCTAACAAAAAAATTGTTTCAATTCAATAATAATCTGTCCACTTGTATTTGAGTTATCAAACATTAGGTTTTTTACAAAATATGGCAGCCATTTTGAAATTCAGTGGCCATCTTGAAAATGTTTTCTTGAGCAAAGCTTGTTCCTTAGGCATTAGCATATATTTGAACGAAATCCATAAATTAGTATTCAAAGATTACATTTTTTACGAAAAATGAAGGCCATTTAGTATTGAGCTGCCAAATCGAACGAATGTTTTCATGAATCGAGAATTCATGAATGTTTGTGATCCAAGGAGGATTGACTCCCAGAATGCAACATCAGTTAACCTTATTTACTCATGACAGGTTTCAAAATAGTGGAACGGCATTTTGAATGCTGACACGTGCAGTACTGTCAACCCCCAAAGATTTTCTCGCGGGACAGATTTTATAGACCCAGGGCCCAAAATTCGCGGGATTTTGCGGGACATCTACTAAATTCGCGGGATTTCGCGGGACATTTAAGGGATTTGCGTGATTGCGCTTATAGGCCAATTTTTTTTTATCAAATTCGCGGGATTTCGCGGGACCATTCGAGGGACAAACACCCTAATTGCGGGACAGTTAACAGGTTTACCAGCAAAAACTTCATAGAGGGACAGATTTTCTAGAAAAAGTGCCCTAAATTTGCGGGATTTTGCGGGACATCCACCTAAATTTGCAGGATGTCCCGGGACATTCAAGGGATTTGCGTGATTTGGACTAATGTAAAAGCGTGTAAAAGTACTTAAATCAAACTTTCAGATACTGATTAATCAAATATAATGCACCGTTACATTGTAACTTAAATAAACGTCAACATAACTTCACAAAATACGCATAGAAATATTATTTCAATTGAAAGCCCATGGTATAGGGTTTCGATTAATCTACATCAAATTATAGGGAATGAGGTTACTTTTCTAGATAGGGTTTGTAGAAAAAACCGGGTACCGGGTAGTAAATCCTCAATGCTGAGTTCAAACTTGGTACCCGGTCGAAAAAACCGGGTACCCAAAAAACGAAATATACGAATATACAACATAATTAGATCATTAGAAAACGTGTAAGATTTGTTTTGAATTTACAAAAATGTATGTAACTTCCTTCAAAATTGAGATAGAAGCTTCAAATAAAAAGCATTTTAAGCCTCCTTTCTTCCTCTATCATCATGATCATATTTCCATTGGTAATGAAGGGGGAGGGGGGGGGGTACGATCGCACCATCACACCCTCACCTGGCTACGCCAATGACATTGTAAGACGATTTGAATAACAAGGCAAATCAATTTTACTCTATTTTCAATAGTTCGTATGTTGGTACGTGAATTGTTTTGATTATGATTTAAATCTGTAAATTGCTATCGTTGCTTTAGCAGAGAGGTGACGTGTGTTAATTTACATGATGCAATGTGTAAGATTTTGATTATTAATCATAATTTAAGTTATCCCAACTGTCGACAAAATGTCCACTGAATTGTCCACTAAATTGTTATGTCTTACAATGTCATAGGCGTAGCCAGGAGAGGGTGCGATGGTGCGATCTCACCCCCCCCCCCATAACCGATGAAAATATGGTCATGACAATAGAGGAAGAAAAGAGCCTTAAAATATGCTTTTTATTTGAAGCTTCTAGCTCAATTTTGAAGGATTGTACACACATTTTTGTAAATTCAAAACAAATCTTACACGTTTTCTGATAATCTAATTATGTTCGTATATTCGTTTTGTTTTTGGGTAAGCTTACCCGTTTTTTGACCGGGTACCGGGTACCAAGTTTGAACCCAGCATGGAGGATTTACTACCCGGTACCCGGTTTTTTCTACAAACCCTTTCTAGATATCAGCGTCCATTTATTGTAACTCGCGTTTGCTAACATTTGCTCAGTTCTGAGATGAAGGCCACACGGATAGTAAAAAGGCCAACGTTGGAACTATTTGACCTACATCCCTATTGTCGTAATTAAAATGAAAGTTGAACCCTTCCTCTTTATTTTGATACCAAACAACAGCTTGCTAGGTACTTAAAATTAGGTAAACTTTACTCCTCAAAAGTGCAAAAACTTAGCTTCTTATATAAGATGAGATAATCACAATATAGGGGATTGCAACAATTTCGGAAATTCGCGGAGGTCGAAAGCCACATTTGCGGGACTTCGCGGGACATTGCGGGACACGCGAATTAGCCTAATTTTGATCGAATTCGCGGGATAATCCCGCCATTCGCGGGACACTTGACAGCTCTGCACGTGTCATGATGCATTCTGGGAGCCAATCTTCCTTGCGGCATAATCGGGCTCCAAAATCACCTCCAGTTGTCGGAACTGGAGCAAATACTCGCTGGGCAGTCTACCCTACCGACAATTGTCGCTACGGGATCCAGTCCGCTTTTTTATAGTGTTTAGTAACTATTTATGTTCACCTCACATATTTTATGATGTGACTTTGCCCGAAAGAATTTTTTTCAAAAAGCTTTCCACGCTTTCTTTAGGAGGTATTTCTCCCATATGTGGTTCCACTCCAGACACTTCGAATCGTAAATGCGAGAGTACCGACAATTGTCGGTACTCTAGACTTTGCTGTGTTGACACGCTAGAGGACCGACAAATAAATTGTCATAACGGGAGACTTTGCTGTGTTGACACGCTAGAGGACCGACAAATAAATTGTCGGCACTTTAGCCCCTCCTAGTAGGAAACGCTAGAGAACCAAATGTCGACAGTGAAGCCACTCCTAATAGGATCTAATAGAGAACCAACCAAAAGTCTGTGGCTCTGCTAAATGCTGTAAAACATGCTAATTTCGCAAGCATAGTGATTTCGCCTTTATTTGCCTGATTCAAAATCGCGAATTTAGAACTGTGTATTTTTCTGAGTAATGTGGATGAATTAATAGAACAAATGAAGAATAAAATCTACTGGTATACATTATTTCTAGTAATTGTGTTTTGTTTATTTTATGCAAGTGTTATACGCAATTATAAAACAAACGTGAAGAAAACTTAAAAGTCGGTTATAAACAATAAAACATGTACAATATAAAGTTACTTAAAATAAAATACCACCATCAGGGGAATAGCCAGCTTCCAGTCATGTACGCGTGTAATCGTCAAAAATTGCCTTTCAGTGGGGAGGGGGGGGGGGTGACATACAGGTAAGCAACCCAACCCAAACAAACTTTTTTATTACAAAAATTGATGCAACTTCCTTTAAACACCGGACTTCAAACTTGAGCTAGAAGCTTCAAATAAAAAGCATTTGAAAGGTCTTTTCTTTATCGGATCTATTGTTATTGGTAATGGGGGTTCAGTCGCATCCCCCTGGCTACGCTTATGGATGATAAAACCAGACATCAAAGTCCACGAGCAGTCTTGCGACCCGACCCTACATATCACCAATCAACAGGCAACAATAACTCATGACAAGAAAGTTTGTAAGTTTATATTAATAATTAATCTCTTATACTTTTTATTTTTTAATAACAGGAGGCAATCGTGACTGGATAATTAGGAAATAACCCTAATTGACATACAACCAACTAGAAAGATAATGTCATAACAATGTTGCACTCAATATTTTCCGAAACAGGTTTCATTTCTTATCACAGTTCAGTGCACTTTTATTAGAGACAATTCATTTTGCAGAATGCATTAAATATTAGTATCCATATATTGTGGTTGTAAATCACAAAAAAACATCAGGACATCATGAATTAGTAAGCCAAAATTAGTAAACGTTTAAAACGTTTGAGGGTAAGCCAGATCATTGTAGTAGCGCAATGGCTAAAAATATTTATTGAGCTGCTACTGATATAAAAAGAAATAAAAAGAACAATTTCAAAGCTGGGTCCGCAAAAGAAGCAAAATGTATATTCTAGACACAGAAAAAATTCGGCTGAAAGAGGGAATCGAACTCGAACCGCGTGCATAGTAGTCAAGGACGCTAACCACTATACTACCAATGAACAATGTAAAGGGGTGAAACTAGTGTATTTAGTTTTGAAAATGTCGGTTTTGTATTGAAGCTTGTAAGACAATTTCGATGGAAGATGCATCAATTTTTGTCGAAATAAATTATGGCTCACTATAAGTTAATACGATTCTATCGCAAAAGAAGCACTATGCCCCCTCCCCCTCAAAAGAGTCGTGCTCGCTAACCACTAGGCTACCAGTGATGTGGATGTTCGGGAAAGTAAAAGTAGAGAGTGGATTCATTTTTGAAAATGTCGGCTCTCTAGCAAATCCACGTATGAGCCACTTGCGTACCGACAATTGTCGGTTCTCTATCTGGCCCTACTAGGTTACAATAGAGTGCTGACAATTGTCGGTACCCCAGCAAATATCCACTGGACAGTCTCCAGAACTGATAATTGTCGCTCGGTCCTGGAGCCACTCCGAAAAGATTGAAGTGAGATTACCTTTAATGTGACATGATTTCCACGGGTCCAATGCAGAACATAACCTTTCTTCACACATTTCTCCATTGCCATGCTTTTAATAATAAGGCATTCTAGGTTATTGAGTAGATCTCTTGCAAAATATAATATTCTTGGAACACGGAAGTTTTTTTTAACTTTTGGGAGTGAAGCATCGTGGGAAATTGAAATAAATAAATCATAATATTTGTTGAAATTATTTGTTATCAAAGTTAGAATACGTATAAAAACGTTATTAAGCCTTTGTTAAATTTTTTATGGGCCTTATACTAATAGGCTACCGGGGTAAAAAGATGTTAAACTATCGAAGAATCGAGATTTTACCTTAAGTGGGCGATAATAGAGTGCGATCAAAACAAATGAAATGATCCAAACCCCTTCGGTGCACTAGTCTTCATCTTCATACTATTTTAGCTAATATAGACACAGATCCGGAGCCAGATCCAGCCCCTATTGGTAGTAGGCTCGAAGGATATTTATTGAGCCTAGACACAGAGGAGGTAATCTGGCAGAGGTTTCGTGAATAGTCTATAGACAAGTGCGCACATTTTATAATGGCTTCTAAAGATCGTAGAAAAAGGGTAAGGAAGATGCATCTGTACTGTAGTCCTTATACTAGTTATAGGCCCTGGACTATAGAATTAAGTGTCTAGGCACCTTTTCACTTCAGTTTTTTCTTTCACAGTACTGTCAACCCCCAAAGATTTTCTCGCGGGACAGATTTTTTAGACCTAATGCCGAATATTCGAGGGATTTCGCGGGACATCCACCTAAATTCGCGGGATTTCGCGGGACATTTAAGGGATTTGCGTGATTGCGCTAATAGGTCAAATTTTGATCAAATTCGCGGGATTTCGCGGGACCGTTCGAGGGACAAACACGCTAATTGCGGGACAGTTAGCAGGGTTACCACCAAAGACTTCATAGAGATATAGCTTTTTTTAGACAAAGTGCCCTAAATTCGCGGGATTTTGCGGGACATCCACCTAAATTTGCGGGATGTCGCAGGACATTCTTGAAAGGGATCTACGTGATTGGGGCTTAATGTAAAAGTTCTCAAATGAAACTTTCAGATACTGATTTATCAAATATAATGCACTTAACTTAGTAAACGTCAACACAATTCCACACAATACGCATAGAAATATTATTAAACTACGGGGTGGTCAAAAATATGGAAACCCTAATACCATTTTCCTCATATCTTTGTCATTTTAAAAAATAACTCCCTGATATTTTACACTTAAGTACATCATTCAATTTGCTTCCAGCCTAACTTATTTCACGACCATCAGATTGATAGTCACAATGTTACAGTACTCTAAAAAACATGCCCAGTGGCCACTATTGGGTTGTGAGGAAACTTGACTCATCGTCTAAAATGTCCCTACCTGTGGGGATATGGCAGAGATAGGGTATATGAGAATGACCTCGAGACAATTGCAAACCTCAAAAGTGAGATAATTTGTGTCATTCAGGCCATACCTGCTGAGGAATGTGTTCGGCTCATTGACAACTGCAATGTCCAAATCTGAAGCATGTTATTTTAAGTGCTGTAAAATTGTGTCTATCAGTCCGATGGTCATGAAATATAATAGGGTGGTAGAAAATTGAATGATGTACAAATGTGTGAAATATCAGGGAGTAATTTCTTAAAGTGACAAAGATATAAGGAAAGTGCAGGGTTTCCGTTTTTTGACCACCCTGTATCAAAAAACCACGCTTTAGTTGTGAGTACCGTAATCCAACACGAAATTCAAAAATTCTGAACAATACTTTGCACTTAGGTGTTCGTGACCAACTATGAAACATTTAACCCCATAGTGTTACATATTAAAATGTACCTAGTATTCATATTGGGGTTCGATTAATCTACATCAAATTATAGGGAGTCAGGTTTCTTTTCGAGATATCAGTGTTCATTTATTGGAACTCGCGTTTGCTAACATTTGCTCAGTTCTTAGATGAAGGCCGTGACACGCGTAGTAAAAGGGCCAACGTCTTGGAACTATACGTGACATACATCCCTATTTTCGTAATTAAAATGAAAATTGCACTCTTCCTCTTTATTTTGATACCAAATAACGGCATACTAGGGACGCCAACTATGGTGTTATTTCCCATCAGGTTTATAAATGGACTATATGCTCTTTTCAAAAGCAGTCTTCGATGATTTGATGAACTGGGAGTTTGGCAGCACTTTTCAAATTAGGTAAACTTTACTCCCCAAAGTGCAAAAACTTAGCTTCTTAATCACAAGATAATCACAATTATTTAGCCTCGGGGATTGTTACAATTTTGAAAATTCGCGGAGGTCATAGCCGACATTCGCGGAACTTTGCGGGACATTGCGGGACACGCGAATTCGCCAAATTTTGATCAAATTCCCGGAATATTCCCGCCATTCGCGGGACACTTGACAGCTCTGCTTTCATGATGCATTTGGTTCGGGGATGGCTGCTAATATTTCTCTTGACACCCCATGATATAAATGAGAATAAGCATGATGTAGCGAAAACAGAGCCGATGGAAAGGGGGTTTGTCACGTAATCACGTCAGGTGGTAATACGTTTTCACGTCGCATGTTACTAATCAGAATTACTTTCACGTTTCACGTCCTTGATCATCAAAATATTACATTCATGTTTCACGAAGATCAAATATCATTACATTAAATTCACGTTTCACTGGCATTAAATAAATCGCTGAACCGTCCAATTGCGAAATTATACTTTTGATGTAGAATGTTTGGATTTCACAGCGGTAATGGAAGATGTCAAACTGGCAATTATCAACACTTATGTAAAAACGAAGTTAATTTTGCTTGCAAAGTCCAGATGATGGTCACAAAGTCCAGATATCTCAGTATATCAGGTCGATCTTTGTATTCGCCGGATTGGCTTGCTACTGGGTATTGGTTGAATTTCTACTAAGTTGTTATTCTCGACCAATCAAAATAAAATAAATTAAAATATTAAAATATCCCGATGGTATTACACCTCTCTTATGTTAATCTTTGTCGCGTTTTGTAACTGGTGTTCTGATTGGCTAAAAACAGAAAAGTTTATAATTACATTTGAGTTTACAAAGTCAACAAATAAGATGTATCACAAAAGCGAATGTAGGATCAAATGTATTCTCGCCAAATAAAGTTTCATTTATTCTGACAACGTAGCACGAAATAACGAGACTGAACGGCGTCACAGAGTTCTCATTATTCAAAATACGATGCACAAGGCAATGTTTATTGACTTCATAATGCACGGGGTTAACTTCATGAATGTCTGCATGGGCCTGCATGACTTGCATTTCACGTTTCTCATTCAATCAAAATCTACTAAAATGCTGCACGCCCGAAGCCTTTCCATAGGCTCAAAACAAAACTCCTTCTGCAAACTGTAGGTAGCATAAATACCCAATGTAATTCATTCTGGACTTGTTTTTGCTACTTATTTAGACTCTTTTAAATCATGATTTTCGTTCACAGTATGACTACTTTCATTATGAATCGGTGTATATTAGGATGTATTACATACCTAGCGAAGCATTTGTATGGAAGTCAATGGGAAAGTTAGCGAGCTATATCCACCGATATTGCCCGATTACCCCGATATAGCCCGCTTACCTCGTTTTGATATTAGATTTCTATAATAACCATGATAATATCATGATGTCACGTCATTGATACAAAGTAACCATGGGAACAAAGGCATGTAATACATCAGTTATGTCACTATTCGTTCTTGCCCAAATATAGAGCCTCCCAAGGTCAGCCTATATTGGGAGAACTCAGGCATATTTCACGTCATAGTGACATAACCTCTAAATATAGTATGGTAAGTTATTTAAATCCAATTTTTTACATAGAGTCAAGTGAAAGCAATTTCATAACCAAATTTACAAACCTACCTCTACACTTTTCCATAAATCGAGTCCAAATGGCTGTGAAAAACAAGTCCGGAACAATTTATGTTTGGTAGTATTTGACACCGTGTGTGTGTGATCACATAGAATATTGAGAAATTTCGGCTGCTTATTCATTTTGTAAATAAACATGATTTTTAATTTAGTTTCAAACCCAGGGTTTCAAATACAAATATGAGGATTTGCTAAACGGAATTCTGTTTCATTTTATTAAATTAAAGCATGAGTAACAATGATTTTAGTCTCAAGGATCGTAAATTCAGCCCAAAACACAACAGTGTAACTGTACTGTGGTCGTGGATGATGATTTGCTATCTGGTTCCAAATTGAATGATGGGGAGAATAGTACAACCATAAAGATAAAGATGTACCCTAAATGTGGAAATATAGCATTGGCTGATCCAGAAGTAACAAGGCGGGGAGGGGGCAAAATTTTGGGCCCAAAATGTTTTTTTGAGACCAAAAAGGGGGGGGGGGGGTGGCCCCATGGGATCATCAGCGTATAGTGACAGCCTTTAGACAACTTCCATTGAATTACCCAGCAAATAAAGAAAAATTTTAGTGTAGATTGCTTCTATAGTGAACAAGCATTTCAATTTCGCAATTTTGATGAAGGATAAAATAGCAAAGATAAACACTTGCAATTCTGGCCTTATTTCATGATTAGGCACATGTTAGATCTATATGACATACACATAGGCCTACGAGTGCTGAATTTCATATAGCAAATCCATGTATGAAACTAAATTATAAAATTTAACGCTTAAAAGTCTGTAGGTATGTGGGAAGGAGGTTTTTTATACAAAACCTGTGAATTTTAATCTTAGTACATCTCTACCCATATCAAACTGTATGGGAAAGTTTATGTTACTCTTTTGGTCTTTCATGAATGTTTCATTGGACTTAAATGAAAACACCTCCAGCAAATGAAACAGAAACAAATGAAGAGATTATTCCATACAGAGTAAGATACCCTTTTTCCTTGTACATGTATAAACATTTATAAGTATCTCAACAATATCAGATATGTGAGCAATTTCAATAGAACTTCTTTTAACTGTCAAAAGTTGAAAGTGGTATATGTATTAAATCAATTGATGATTTTGTTTATTAAATTGAATGCATCTTTTTATGTTACAGCACCACGAAGAGAAAGATTCAGAGAGTGATGATGAATATGTACCTTATGTTCCTTTGAAGCAAAGGCGGAAAGAACAGGTAAATAATTCATTAAAGCATAAGGAGTTTCTAATCTTGCTTATTCTATATCTGTGTTTTTAAAAGATTTCCATATTAAATCTCTAATGACTTCTTTTTAAAAGCATATTTAAATTCAGTGAAAGGTTTTCCACAATGATAACTTTGATTTATACTGTTATAGTTGTTTTGAACATTTTCCATTATTTTTTCAACTTCCCTGAAACTGTGGCATTCAAGTTTTAGACAGATCCAACATTTTTTGATAAATCATGAAATTAAGTGAATATTGCAAGTTTTTAACATTGAAGCCAATGACAGTCAAACCAAACCAGAAACAGATGAAAACAGTGGGGATTTTAGATTTGTTGGGCTAAATATGTTGTGCGAAGCCTCTCTATTGATTGATAGAAAAATGTTCATATAACATTTTTTTTTTATATTTAAAATTTATTTTCATATCATTTTAAAATTTTACAATTACAATACAATGTTTCTTTTATCAAGTTCTATTTTAAAATTATGTAAGATATTATTATTTTGGTACAATTCCAACTTTTGCTTGTGGATTGTCCACTTAGCAACAATTATTACTTGATTAAGATACTCTTTGTCAAAATACCTTTAAAGATGATTTGTTCATTTAAACTTATTTCACAACTGTTTCTTATAAAGTCCCATATTGGGAGTACAAAATTGCATGTTATAAATCTGTGAGTTAAATCATCTTTGTTTTCATTACAAAAATTACAATTTGGCGTTTCCTTTATTTTCATTTTAAAAAGTTTATCATTTGTTATCACAATATTGTGTAAAAATTTCCATTGAAAAACTATTAACTTAGTCTCTTTAGTGACATTATGTGCTAAGCACCAATAAAAGTATTTATCTACATCTGTATCATCCTTTAACAAACTGTTGGTTGGTTCTAAAAATAAATTCTGTATGTAACTAGAATAAACTTGTTTTGTTGAAAGGGTTTTGACACTAGATGTCTCTCTTTTGTGCAGAGCTCCTCTTAAAATGTTATACTCTAAGGTGCAATTAATACCAGTTTTTATATTGAGATCATTTAAAGACAAAAGATTATTTTCATCATCAAAAATATCTTGAAAGTAAAATATGTCTTTTTTAACCAAACGTTCTAAAAGGATTCAGCCATACACTTTGAGCTACTTTATCAATTACTTTATATGCTGAATGATTAAAAGAAATCCAAGACTTTAATACATCTTTGTAAAATTGTGGAACACTTTTGTGTATATACTTTTGAACATTGCTAAAAGTGTCACTTGCTTTTAAAAGTACATCATTTCCACATATTTTGTTGATATAATGTTTGGGCAAAATGCTCCATGAATTATCATGGGTTTCCAGTAAATTCTGTGCCCATTTACATAATAAACTGTTAATTTTTAGATCAACCATTTTATAACCACCTTGTTCATATGAACCTATTAAAGTTGACCTTTTGACTTTATCTGGTTTACCATCCCAAATAAATTCATACATTGATTTTTCTAATTCTGCTATAACCTCACATGGAGTACATTTCACTGATGCTAAATATAATATTTTTGACAGTGCTGATGTTTTTATGATTGTGATCTTTCCATTTTACTTTATTTCCAACTAATGCCACTCTACCTCACACTGTTATTGCATTTTAATTTATTTCCAACTAATGCCACTCTACCTCACACTGTTATTGCATTTTAGTTCATGACTACCATGACATTCTAGTGAGCGTATCCATTCAATTTTCCAGCTCGTCAAATTAGGAGCAAAACTAGGTAGAGCGAATCTGTTAAAACTTGAAGAGGAAAGGCATGCTAGTAGTGGCAATGATACCCCAGGTAGCAATCGAGGCTCTGGAGGTGGTGGGGGTGAGGAATCTGATAATGAGGATGATGAAGACTCTCAGATTGGTCCAAGTGCTGGTATGAGCTTGCTTGATCAACACAGCAAACTTAAAGAGAAATTTGAAGGTAAAGTTATATATGTACATTTGTCCTAATCCACGAGATAGTGTGCGTCCATTTCAATTCAAGCTTATAGTGATATCCTTATTTGTTCCTTTTCTTGCCTATTCCTGATCTCAGATATTGTTATTGAAACATTTGACCATATTCTATGCATGGATATCTTTTAACACTTCATTGTATGCTGTGGATGAGGTATATGAGTTAATTAAAATTTCAAGAAAATATTTGACATTTTTGTACAATTCAAACATTTGTTATTAATGGTGCTTGTTTGAAGCATTTTTTTTATTAGAGATTCATGAAATTCAATTTTAATGAAGCAACATTGCAGAGACAATTCAATCACAAATCAAATTACAAGAAGCATGCTTCTGAGATAAAACAAAGCATTCAAATAATAAAACCAAAATTCCAATCTTCCAGTCATGATCAATGATGCTTCAATCTGAGCTTGTTAATGACCGTCTCAGTCTCCACACTTGCAGTCCATCATGGGAAAATTGCATGTATATAATATTTATTTCGTCATAGGTTTCATTGTTTGAATAGCAAAACTCACGTTCCCATTTCTTTTCATAAACCATTTTTCTGATTGTTCATTTTGATAAAAAATTGGCATTTTCTGAAAATATTGAAATCAAAACTATTCATTTTTAATAAAACATCAAAATCATTTACAACATTTTCAAAATAGAGATATGGTATTTTATTCATCATTTGTTTTTTATCATATAAGCAATTGAGATTCGAGTCAATCATGTTAAGTCCAACTTCTTCTAATGAATTTATAATAATAAATTATAATTATTAATTAATATAATATTAATACAATTATTAAATATCTTTCCCATCCCAAAGGAATATATAAATCATTTCATCGTATGATCTGTAAAATTAAGCCTTCTGATTGGTCAGTTCTTGTGCTGTTCCAATCTGTATTGCTACTGAGATTGTCCCCATTGATCGCTTGATGCACTTCAAATCATTCAATAACTTATAGTATTGACTCTTTTTATAATTTCATTATCATATTTTGTAGTCAATTCAAGTATTGATTATGCAAAAATTAATTTTGGAAGGGCAATTGATTGAATCACTGCTATTTTTCCAATTAATGTTAAATTCCTCTTTTTCCAAGAATCTGAAACTTTCACTAATTTTGTTATTCTGTGCAGCCAATCGAGCTCATAACATTTGTCTTTATCATGTCCAACGAAAATACCAAGAGTTTTTACACTGGGTTCATTGTTCAATTTTATATTTGCAAAGTTATTTTCATTAACTTTACTTCTCCCTCACCAAATTCCTTCAGTTTTGTCTATATTTAGTTCTAATCCAGAAACATAAGAGAAAGATTGAATCGTTTGAATTGCTTGCAGTATTGAATCCTTGTCTTTTAAAAATAAATTAGCATCATCAGCATATTGAGACAGTTTATATTCATTAAAACATTTAACCCCTGAACACAGTGCAATGTGGAATGACCGTTCGTTGAAGGTGTTGCTTTCCAAAATTTGCACGAGATGCGCCAGCATCAAGTGTTTTTAGGAAACGATGCCTGAAAGGAATGGTCACAATGCATTGAGTCTTGGGTTTAAATTCTTTACACACATTGCAAAATATTTTCTTCCATGTCACTTAAAAGACACGCAATCACTAAAAGAACATGTTTTTTTATGAAACTTTTTTGCAAGGGTGAAGTTGGCATAGCATCAATTTCAATTAGTAGAATCCAGTTTTCACCTTGACAACCATTGACAAACATTCATTGGATGCGGTGATCAGTTATATAATAATTGAATGCAGTTACGTGAAATAGCATGTTCTGATCAGCTGGAATTAGACACTGAATATTGTTTATTTCAATACCTTTTATGTTAAACAGGCAATGCGCCTATTTTTGAAGGAAAAGGGACAAAATATTATTTGAGACATGTCACTCACACAGTCAATCAAATATGATAAAAACTTTTATTTGGGATAATACTAATGTGAAAAAAAAATTACTTGCATAGAAAACAGCATTTGAAGTTCAGAGATTGAAAAAAGTGAATTACCACTTTTCACAAACACAAAGTGTATGTTTTAAATAACTCTTGGATTAAAAGATGGTGTATGCTTGAAAATCCTATCAAAAATGAATGGATAATTAATGCAAACAACAATGCAATCTTTGTATCGCATTGCTAAAAACTTGACATATAAAAATTGATAGATCAAAAATATTTTTTCACGATCTAGTGTCAATTCTGATGTGGTCTGTTTGAGCTGTTTTTGGTGTCAAATGAAAGATCAGGTACTTATTTATCCATTGGAAATACTATGAAGATTTAAAGTGAGACTTCATTTACGCACCTTATCCCTAAGGTCAATTATTATATTATAGCCAAGAAAGAGACTGCCAAAGAGAAGCAACTAAAGGAAGAGATGAAGATTCTTGAAAGTGTTGTTGAGGCTAAAGCATTAAAAGGTGTATCAGAGCTAGCAAAGGGGATTGAATACACAGACTCAATAAAAACTGGGTAAGAAATGATTTCTTATGATTAATATTGTTTATTTTTTAAATTGAAATATATTTTATTATTTATTTCATTGCTCCCACCAAGAATATCACCCAATAGAACACATGGGAAATATGTCTAGTGAAGCAAGACTCTTTCAAATGTGAAAGCATGGAATAAATATGCACAATAAATACTAACTGTTTGATCATATTGAAGGTGGAGACCTCCAAGATTTATTCTGCAATTGCCAGAAGAGTACCATGACAAAGTTCGTGAAAAATATCAAATTCTTGCTGAAGGTGAAAATGTGCCTCCACCAATCAAATCTTTCCAGTCAATGAAGTTGCCGAAACCTGTCCTCAATGCCCTTAAGAAAAAGGGCATCTTAAAACCATCTCCAATTCAGATGCAGGGTATTCCAACTATGTAAGTAATATTCTATCTTCAAATGTCATTTGTCATCTGTATTGATGGTGTAGCTAGAGAGGAATGAATAACGAGTTCTACATTTCCTGCAAAACCTATAAAAGTAGAACACTTTTAACTCCATAAAATAGTGTTCTATTTGTGTGGTTTTCCACTCTCAGAGGTTTAGTCTGTAATAAGTTAATGGGAAACTGCCTTGGAAAGTGTTCCAGTTAAGAATGTGTTATACTACATGGGTACACTTTACACGTTTTACTGTACTGAATATATTATCTTGATCTGTTTTTCAGTCTCACTGGCCGTGACATAATAGGCATAGCATACACAGGATCAGGGAAGACTCTAGTGTTTTCCCTCCCGATACTCATGTTCTGCATGGAGCAGGAAAAGCGTATGCCTTTTGTACGCAATGAGGGGCCCTATGGACTTATCGTGTGTCCATCTGTAAGTACTCTTGCGCAGTGTTAACATTAACGAGCGGACCGGCGGTCAGGGACCAGTTGATTGTCCTCCAGTCCGGCAAAAGTTGCACAGGTGCTGGACCTTTGGACCAGCTTGTTTTTATGATACCTACATACCTCTATGTGTCCGCAGGTTTACTCTATTGTTTGTGGTCGTCTTGAGCGATATTTACCTTGACACGAGCGTATTCAGTAGATATCTGGTTCATTTTTCAAAACTTCCTTTTTCACGGAGGAAGTAGAACATTTAATTCTCGCTAGAATCGATTCGCTAAACCGAGTATTACATACAATTACCGAACGCATAGCTTTTTTATGGGCTCATACCTCTGATATCACTGTTTGAGGGGGAGGGTTCGCTAAACATGTACTGTTTAAGTACAAAAAATAAACTAACTATGTTTATTCTCAGATTTTGATTTTCTTAGTGTTGCAATTATAAATCCTACAATAGAGATGTTGAAACAGTGTTAAGTGCTTATAACAATCATGAATTTATTGACCAGTGAGACTTTATACGGACCAGCACCTTTTTTGAAATGCTGGTCATTTTGACCAGCACATCCTGTTACGGACCACCTAATTTTGATGGGGAACAGGTCCGTTTGACCAGGCTGTTTTTGCTCCTTAATGACAACACTGCTCTTGCGAGGCTTCTTCTTATATTAAGAGACAAAGTTGATGTACAGGGTGAGCCAAAACATGTAACCCAAACTGATCTTAATAACTCTGTGATCTAGTATGGGTTTAAAGTCATATTTAGCACAACTGAACTTTGTTCATTGTTCTTCCATTCACCCCATAGGTTTATTCCAAAAGGTCATGATTTTATGGCTATTTTTTTCTACTTGGAGACTGGATTTTATCTATCCCACATCATTTGAGACTGAATGCTCTACTTGTATGAGTACTTATATCTACAACAATTTTTGAGGTTATGAGTATTGGCTATCAATTGGCTAGCAATTTCTATTTTTTCTTCAACATGTATTGTCATGACTTCAGTATGAATGAAATGTCCCTTGGTCTTCTGGTCTTGGATTGTGATATTGATTCTTGAATGGTCGGGGGAAAGGGGGTATTAGACATTGTTTCTTTTCACGTTAGATCATGGTTTTGGGCTATATGGTGTTTGTTTTTCTTGACTGGTATGCACTTAGAGTTTGCTTTTTCTTGTCTAGTTCTATTACAACTTTTGGTCCTTTCCCTTTGGCACTAGTGCTTATATGTTTACAATACATGCTCAAAATGCCAGTCTTGTCTTTGGAGAATTTTAATGTATCGGGTGAAGTTTCCTGACTACGCCCTCACTGATATATTGTTTAACAAAATGCTCTCATTTCCCTTCTAATTCCTTGTTTCAACTCTCTGATGCTTCTACCTGGTAGTTAATATACACATTGCCTTTGAAATACTCCAAAAAGTAAAATTCTTGGAGTTAATATTTTGTGATTTTGGTGTTTTGGCATTTGTATATCATGTTTTGTAAAATGGCCATAAAATCATGACCATTGAAAATCAACCAAGGAAACCTAGTATGCAAGAACATGGAAAAAGGTTCAATTGTGCCAAATTTGACCATAAAGCTATACTGGATGACTGAGTTATTAAGATTAGTTTGGGTTACCTTTTTTGGCTCCCCTTGTAGTTAAGTTAGTCATCAAATGAAACAAGCAAACAGATTCTTCTTTCAGGCAGGACTGTGAGGGTTCTTAAAATATATTACAGCTTATCTGTTTAAAATATTAAAATGATCTTTGAGTATGCACTATCCCATTTCCTTTTCATATAAAATGCAACAAATCAACTGCTAAAGAAGTGGGGGTAGAAGTTTTGCTCGAAAGCCGATTTTCAAAATGGCCACTCATTTTAAAATGGCGGCCATTTTAGTGCCAAATTTGCAGTAATTTAGGTGCAATATGTAAAACTGTAATAGCAATATGTTTTAGATGTAAAAAAATTATATAGGACATTAAAAAAGCTAGAAATGTAGATATTAAAGAAGCACATGGCAGCCATCTTGAAAAATGGTGGCCTTTACTCGTTATTTTACGATTTTTGCTGTATTTTACTATAACTCGAAAAGTAGTGAAGCGATTTTGTTCATATTTGGTATGTGAATACTATAAGGATGGCACACTGTCTAATGACACTTTTGGTAGAAGGCGGCCATTTTTCAAAATGGCCACCGTTTTAACGTATTTTACTATAACTCGAAAAGTAGTGGAGCGATTTTGTTCATATTTGGTATGTGAATACTAAAAGCATGACACACTATCCTATGACACTTTTAGTAGAAGGTGGCCGTTTTGAAAAAAAATTTGAAAATGGCCGCCATTTTAATGTATTTTATAATAATTCGAAAAGTAGTGAAGCGATTTTGTTCATATTTGGTATGTGAATACAGTAAGCATGGCACATTGTCTAATGACACTTTTGGTAGAAGGCGGCCATTTTTCAAAATTTTAACGTATTTTACTATAACTCGAAAAGTAGTGGAGTGATTTTGTTCATATTTGGTATGTGAATACTATAAGTATGGCAAATGATCTAATGACACTTTTGGTAGAAGGTGGTCATTTTGAAAAATGCCTGCAATTTTTGCTATATACTTTGTTTGTCAAAATGCCATCCATGGCTGTTCGATGGGATTCGCTACGCTTTGGCGTTGCTGTTGTTCTGGTTTCTACTCGCATCTAGGTTATTCTTAACCAATCACCCATCTCACTGCTCTTCCATGATCTTCTATGATATGTCTATACATTTAAAAGAAGAGGGAAAGTATCGCAACAGATTTCAGACAGTCATATGTTGGATTTTGGCTATTTTCTGATGATTTAAACATGTGCATATGTTAGGCTAATGCATTACTTTCAGGAAAAGCACTCATAGAGATGAAAAAGAAATTGACTTTGAGACAGGCAAGATGAAAACTACCAACCCACATGTTTTTCTGAAATGTTGTCCTGATTTTCAACCCCTTCCACCACAGCATTTTCAATTTTTGTTTCATCAATATGTTGCCTTTTGACACACAGTTAACCCCTTTAAAGGAATAAGTAATTCCTTCAGGGGTTTTAATAAAGATAGCCATTATGGGTGACCAAAATTAGCTGAAAGTAATGGATCACACGATTATGTCTGCCATTTGTGACAACAGTATCTAACTTAACCGTTGTCAGGCTATTCCAGTGCGCCTATGGGAAAATAACATCTGTTGCAATACTTTCCATCCTCTTTTTACTTTTTATTCATTGTTTTTTAGTTATTTCTCATTCCATATCTATGTAATCTCCTTTATTTCATAAATTATATTGCAGCGTGAGTTAGCAAGACAGACCAATGATTTCCTTCAGTTCATGTTCACCCAGTGCAGTCAGGAAGGCATGCCATCCTTGAGGAGCATGCTATGTATTGGTGGACAGCCTGTCAAGGAACAACTAGATGTTGTTAAGAGGTAGGTAATACATGCTAAAAATGCCAATCTGCTCAAAATATCAGTCTGCTCAAAATGTTTGTCTGCAACTGTCTACACAGTTTATGTTGCCACCTAGAAGTAGTGACATATTCTTATACCCAACGATTTTTGAGACTAATATAAGTTCTGGGTCTGCATTCAGTGTCTGTAACAAATTGTTATAACTCATTTGTATCCATTTACAATAACTTGACAGTTACATTTTGTTATAAAATGCTTTATTTATCTATTGCTTTTCTCTTAAAAGTTTGATTGAAATGTCTGATTTTCTTGATTCCTATACAACTGAGATAGCATTCTTTGTCTAATGTGTTTAGAGGAGTACATATCATGATAGCTACACCAGGTAGGCTGATGGATATGTTGAACAAGAAAATGTTGAACTTGGACGTTTGTCGCTACTTGTGCCTTGATGAAGCTGACAGAATGATAGACATGGGCTTTGAGGAGGATGTCAGAACTATATTCTCATATTTTAAGGTGAGGTGAAAGGAAAATATTTTTTAAAAAACAGTTCCATTAACTATGAACATTAATTAAACCAAAACCTTGATTTTGGACTGTCTTATGAGATATTATTAGGCAATAGGCATTATTATTATTAACTCTATCAAGTCTTGTAGGGAAGACCATTCAAGTCAGTAATATTTTCATTATTGTAAAGTCTGGTTTCTTCCCAGAACAGGTCATACAATGTTCATGAATAACAATTAGATTGCCCTTATAAAAAATGTCAGCCTTATGATTTTTACAAGATAAACTTATCAGTAACCCGGGAAATAGATGACAACCTTGGATGAATTAATTTATCTTTAATTCTTCTTATATTTTTCTTACACTTAACCCATGATACTCTGCATTAGTCATTGACATATACTGCTGGAATTAGATTATATCCTGACTCCAGGAGTATATTATTAATTAAAAGGAATATTTGTGATATACTTCTTGATATAATATGGCCATCAGAAAGCCTACTCGTGAACTCATCGGAATCTACTCGCGATATACAACACTTAGGTGGCATAATCGGGTGCTATAAATTATCACTCATGGTATAATTGGATCTTTCACGTTCAACTTTCAACAGCGTTTTCAATGATATCCAACGTATGCCAGTGAAACAAATATGATTTTCACCTACTGTATCTTTGAATCTACTGGAATAAAGGCAGCTATGATTCTGACTTATTTAACTTGTAAAGCATCAATCAGATATTTAGAAGTTGAACTTAGTGATTGGACAGTAGACATTGCATCAAGTACTCATTTTGCAAATATGAGAGCATGGATCAATAATTATATCGGTTTGACACAATTTTGTGTTTTATCTATTTCTGATATTGAGTAATTCAAGATATAAACAGGAGTTCAAAAACGTACCCATTACACCTATACCCATGTGAGATTATGTAAATAGAGTAGTTAACCGAAACATTGTCTTTTAGTAATTCTGCAGATTTGTTGCACAATTTAAATTGAAGGTTGTACAGGGTGACCGGAAAAAAAGGAGACCATTGAAATAGGCAATATCTCCTAAAATAGACTAGTGACATCAATGAAATTTTGCATACATCAGTACAGTTCTATGGAAATTTGTTCCTGAAAGTGTCAATACAAGCAGTCAACTGGTTCAGGAGCTATGATCATTTACATAACATGCTCCAAATAGGCGCAATTGAGACCAACGCAGAGCTGGATACATTTGGCAAATACCCTTACATATTCCGACCTTGTTATGGCATTACATTTAGCATTTATCACTCCCCCCAGTTTTCTGCAAGTTAAAATGCTCAATTCTGCAAGTGAAATTAGTGAATTCTGCAAGAAGAAAGGGCTAATTCTGCAGAAATTCCGCGGATATTCGCGGCATTTTTTTATATAATATAAATAACTGTTATTAATTTATGTCTTTGTTTAACTTTCTGACGAGAACCGAAAGAAAAACTAATGGTTTTCGAACCCGTAAACGGGAAAATATCGTGATAGTCAGGTAGTCAGTCACTACATACATGCTGCCATCTAACGGCAGAAATCAAACGATGGCGTTTAGAATTTTCACTTCGCATAATTTGGGTTATTTCTGCAAGGGATTTGACTGAAAACGTGTCAAATTGTTACAGGTAAGACTGACTTTTTAAACTTTTGGAAAATATATGGATTCTGCGGAAAATTCCGCGGAAATTGACCAAAATAGTTGATTCTGCAATTCCGCGGGCAGAGGCAAATTCCGTCCGCGCTCTGCAAACACGGAATCCTGGGGGCAGTGATTTATTGCCACCTTTAGGTCAGCAATTGTCTCAGGATTGTTTTGGTACACATTGTCTTTCAAATTGCCCCACAAAAAGAAATCAGGTGGATTCAAATTTGAGGTGTATGGAGACGAAGCTTATCTGACCTATGGCTTCTGACTCAGTGGTCCCACTCAGTTACAGTATCATCCTAAGGAGGTTTTGGGCAGCCCTTGGTTTTCATATGGGATTTAATTGTGCCATATAGTGGTTTTAGTAACATGGCACTATGCCCAATACCTAAAGTGACTCTTAAGATTTGGTAAATCAGCACTTTGGCAACAGGATGATGAACCACATGTCAGATAACCCTTCATTGCCATTACAGCCTAGACTTGAATCCTGCTGATTTCTTTTTGTATGGATATTTGAAAGACAATCTATACCAAAACAATCCTCAGACTATTGTTGACCTAAAGAAGGCAATCACTGCTATATGTAATGCCATAATAATGCCATAGAGGGCAGAACATGTAAGGGTAGTTTGCCATATGAATCCAACTCTGCGTTGGTCTCAATTGTGCCTATTTGGAGCATGTTATGTAAATGATCATAGCTCCTGAACCAGTTGAATGCTTGTATTGAAACCTTCAGTAACAAATTTCCATATAACTGTTCCAGTGTATGCAAAATTTCATTGATGGCACTTGTCTAGTTTAGGAGAAATTGATTACTTCAATGGTCTCCTTTTTTTCCGGTCACCCTTGTATTATTTAATTAATTTTTTCTAGGGTCAGAGACAGACATTGCTATTCTCAGCAACAATGCCTAAGAAGATTCAAAATTTTGCACGATCTGCTTTGGTGCGTCCTGTCACAATAAACGTTGGGCGTGCAGGAGCTGCCAGTTTAGACGTCACACAGGAAGTGGAATATGTAAAAACGGAGGCCAAGGTAGTCCACATATTAGACTGCCTGCAGAAAACAGCACCACCTGTGAGTGATTTTTGCTTATCAATTTCTAGTGAGTTTAAAATTTTTTATGGTCCGCTGAAAAGATAGCTGAAGTAAGGGACTCTGTTAATTGATATTAAAACATCCATTGCAAGTTCAATGCTATTTCTCTTATATGTTACAAAACACTGGATGTTTTGATTCAGTATAAGGGATTCATTTTTCAGCAAATGTGTTAATTTTTTACAAAAAATGCTGATAATTGCTATAGCAATATACCATGATAACTTATCTCATAGATTACAACATGTAGATATTGAGGTGATTGAACATATGTATAAATTTAAGAAGAACATATGGTTTTGAAACTTTTCATAGCACCCCTCATAAATTATTCCAGGCAGTGACGAAGCCACTAGCCATGATTTGACAGGAGAGGGATGTGGGCTCTATTTCTGAATAATTTGAGGTCAATGTCATATGTCAAAAGCGATTTACTCAAAATGGCATATTATGTAGGAGACTTAAATAAGATCTCTTACTCATTCCAACTGTTAGATTAGTACTAATTTAGCAATTACTCCTGTTTGTATTACTAAGTATTTATTTCTAAAAATGTTACACTGAAGAAATAGTTATCTAACAGGCGACAGTGTTGCCACTGTTGGAGCAGAGCCATTGTCTGTAGTTGGAGGTTCTTACATAGACAGATGGTTGACCGAGACATCCAACAACTCCCCAGCTGGTAACTCCAGCAACCACATTGTTTCCTCCTTCTCTGCAGGTCATGGGGCCACCAGAATCTCCCTATAAGGAATATATAGAATTGCATATTTATATGCATATGTGTAGTTTCTAAAATGTCTATTAACTGGATTTAATTAGAATGTCAGTGCTGTGTTTCAGATGATATGCACTTTAATCTAGATTATCCAGTGACATTATGTGTTTCAACTCAAAATGTATTAATTGAGGAGGCTGCTATTGAGTTGTGCTTATCAAATGTGTCTATTGAAGATTCACTTAGGTTTGGATTGTTGTAACAGTTTCTGAATGATCAAATACATTTTTAATACCTGGCAAGATCCCTGGTTGTCACTTTGATCATAGATACAGATGTGCATATTTGGGTCAGATTGGAGCCAGTAATCTTGGCAGTCATCTCCACTCAAGATTGGGAGGGTAGCTTTCCTCAGCTCAGTAGCTGGGACACCATCACCCGGAGTGGTATCTCCCCATCCAGAAATAATGCAGTTCTGGTTAGCAAAATCGGTACTTCCACTTGCAACTGGGATAGTGGCACGCTGGGCAGTTAGAGTTATAGGAGACTCAAGGCGGAGAAGGGCAATATCATTGGGGAATCCAACTGAACCATCTTGATCGAAATCTTCATGCTAGAAAAAATAAGAATTGCATAATGTTCAATGGATATAGTAAAGTGGATGATCACCACAGTACAGTATAATAGCTTAAATTATAGAATATCATAATATACATATTATATAATAGCATAATCAGAACCATAAAAGCTATGAGTGAACAAGAAATGCAAGATAGTAATGTTGAAATGACAGTCACTGCCCTGTATAGTAACTTCAGAATCACAAAAGCAATGAGTGACAATTGTAGACATGATAATATAGTGGAAACGACAAGACAATCACTGCCATATATAACATATTCAGAATCATAAAAGCATGAGTGAAACTGTGGAACATACCTGAATAACCTGGGCAACATTTACAACCTGTTCATTTCCAGTACCATCAACTGAATTCCTTACTTGGCCTCCAGCAATCACTCGGTAACCATCACTAGTGACAAAAGATTGAAATTACAAAAGTAATTTTTATGTTAAAAGGCTATATATCATACAGCAGCAATTGTTAATTGCTATAATTATATGCAGTTTAGGAATGGGAAACTCAAATAAGAAGTTAGAATTATGAGGTACCAATTGTTTGAAGGAACAGATTTTATGAATGTTAGAACTTACGCATTGACGCAATGGGCAGCAGTTGTGACCCAGGTGGCATCAGTAAGGACGGCACCGCAGATGTGTCCCCACCCAAAAAGTCCTTCTGCCTGGAGAGACAGCTGATGAGGAAACTCATGTGGTGTGGCAACCTCTCCATTTACAATGAAGGGTCCAGGGCTGTAGAATGCTGGCACAGGTGCACTTGGTGCAGCAGATGCTGAAAGTATAAAATATTATAATTAAGCATTTTTATGTCCACACCACATAGTGTGGGGCCATATTGTCGGTAATTAAGCATTTTTATGTCCCCACCACATAGTGTGGGGCCATATTGTCGGCCTAGGCGCGTCCGTCTGTCTGTCCGTCCATCCGTCTGTCCATCCGTCCGTCTGTCTGTCCATACGTCCGGGAGTTTTCTCCAAAACCGCTACAGATATCACCTTCAAATTTGCATGGATAACTTATGAGTGCATGGGTGTTAAGGAAATAAAGATAATAATGTCATAACCTTTTTATTTATTCATGGATTTCAATAAAATTTGCAGGGATTATAGTTTCAACATATTTAAACTTACTTTTGGAGTTTCAGCTTCAAGCAATTTGATTTGTCATTTCTTTGGTTGGCATAGCAACGCGAGTAGCGCTTAGGCGGGGCACTTGGAATAACTGCAGTAGTTTCTGTGTTACATTTAGCATGGCAAACTGATTTTGACTCCATATTTAAAGCTTTCTTGGTGCATCTCCATGATAAAATTCTGATGATTCTTAGAATAAAAATCTAGATCTGACTAGTTTTTTGGCATTCTTGGTAAATGTCAAGGCAGCCATTTTGGATTTTCCGTCCTAAAATCTTGTCTGTAAAGTCTTGTCTACGCATTTCCAGGTGAACCGTTCTGTAGATCAATTTCTAATTTTCAGGAATGATTCTTAGTATGTATGAAAATCTAGATCTGATTAGTTTTTTGGCATTCTGGATAAATGTCAAGGCAGCCATTTTGGATTTTCTGTCTTAAAACCTAGCCTGTGAAGTCTTGTCTACACGTTTTTAGGTGAACAGTGTGGTAGATCAATTTCAAATTTTCAGGGATGATTCTTAGTATGAAAATCTACATCTGATTAGTTTTTTTGCATTCTGCGTAAATGTCAAGGCAGCCATTTTGGAATTTCTGTCCTAAAATCTTGTCTGTAAAGTCTTAATGTCTACGTGTTTTCAGGTGAACTGTTCGGTAGATTAATTTCATATTTTCAGCGATGATTCTTAGTATGAAAATCTAGAAACATATTAGTTTTTTGACATTCTGGGTAAATGTCAAGGCAGCCATTTTGGATTTTCCATCCTAAAATCTTGTCGGTAAAGTCTTGTTTATATGTTTTCTGGTTATGTTATGTTTTCTGGTTATTATTTCTATGTGACGGATCAATTTTCAGGGGTGGTTCTTAGTATGAAAATTTTTGGCATTCTGGGTAAATTTTAAGGTGGCCATTTTGGATTTCTGTCCTCAAATTGTGTTGGTAAAGTCTTGTCTACTCATTTTCAGGATAACCATTTGACGGGATCACCCATTGGTGGGGACATTTTGTACACATTTGTGTTCTTGTTCATTTAAACCTGGCATGTTTTTAATTGATTTTATTTTGTTTTATGCATCACTTCATAAAACCATTCAGAAATCCAAGGCAAACTTTTGGTTTGAAAACTACCATTTCCATGTAAGCTAAAGGGAAATGGAGGGAACTATAGTGCACAATAAATAAAAGGATGTCATTATTCAAAAGTGGTAAAAACAATTTTAAAAAGATATGTTAGAATCATAACAATGATCTGGCTCTATTTTATGCAAAATAGCAAAAATATTTTACTTTTTATTCTGCCTATTACAAATAATATACTTCTACTTAAGTTGGTGCTACCTATTGTGGTGGATTTGCTGCTTTGAACATTTGACGGCTGCTTAATTTGGCGGACTTGCATTATTAAAAGATTAAACAACTTCAAAGGATGCCCAATTTTATCCTTGATGCTATCTGTTGACTTTCATTTGACCAGTAAATTGTCATTTGTTTCTAGAAAATTTTCACTCAAAAATGTGGTAAATTTTGTGCAGTGTGAATCCTCAGGAATTAAGAAATTTGGTGGCGATGGACTTTAACAATTTGGTGGATCCGTTAATTAAATTTAATTTAACGGCCGCCAAATTAAGTAGAAGTAGAGTAACCTAAATTATGCCTCAACACTAAGAACAGTGATGATTTTATTTGCAACGTTAATAGCTTGGTCTTGTGATTCATACCATACCAGACTAACCCAGTTCTGCTTAAATTCAGATCATTAAATCATGTTACACTCATGCCCGGTGATCGGAAGAATCGGATGGAGGGGGGATTAGCTGATTTTCGGTAGAAAATTCAAGAAAATCAGCTAATCCCCCTCCATCCGATTCTTCCGATCACCGGGCGTGACACTGAAGCAAAGTTCCTCAGTTGAGAATGCTCACATTCAACCTAGGACCTCTACAACTTATTGAAAACACAAAGTTATATGAATGTGCTGAAATTATTCACCATGAAGTGCCTCACTATAATGTGATAACATTAATGCCTATTTGTCAAGGATTTTCTTAGTTAACACTTAACAATTGTTAATTTTCACACATCATTTTTGTTACAGTTATCAGTATATAACTTTGCAAATTAATAAAACTCTGAATTTAAAAAATCAAAAGATATTATGGCAACCTCAGAAGATGAAACCCTATGAACCACAATAAATGTTAAAGTTCACTTACCTGCAGCTACAAAAGCAAGAATGAAAGCAATCATTGTGAAAGCAAATATGGTTTGTAAAGAAAGTCTGAATTCAGTACTTTATATATGATACAAGTCAGAGGATTGGTTTCCCATTGGTTCCATCCCAAAATTGATAAAAAGTTAATTGCCATGATGGTCATTCAAAAAGATTTACCACTTTTGATTGTTTCTGAAATCTAGAGATTTTATATTCTTTTTAATATGTCCTTGAAGTTTCTAAGAATTTTGAAAACAACTGATGAGGATGTTTGGACAAGGGCCACAAACTCAAGACCTGTCTCGAATTAATCTCTTGCAACATGTGAGGTTAAACTCATTCATGTTTTTGCTTTTACATTACATTCAAACAGGCAAAACTTTTTGAAAGACCCTTATGTATTTGATTAGTTAAAAACATGTGTTTTTTCACATACCATGCATATACAATATTATTTCTTATATATGTGTACTTTAGATACAAAATTATATATGAAAGTGTGGATGGAAGTTTTGAAATATGCTAAAAGTTTAACAGAACAAGTGTCTGGATCGATTCATTTAGGTACATATGTCTGAGACTTAAGCCCAGAACTCGCTGAAGGCTTACTTTTTGAAGGGTTTTGTATGGTTAAATTCTCAAAACATTTTCTAGCATATTTGAAAAAGTTGGATTTCATTTAGATATACTTTGACATGTATAGAGAGAGCTTCTTACTTAGGCTTATATATTTGATTGAGACCAGATGATTGATTGAACAATTTATGATCTATTTCATCACAAAGGTGATAAAAATAGTCAATAAGTAAACCATGAATTGAACAATTTATGATCTATTTCATCACAAAGGTGATAAAAATAGTCAATAAGTAAACCATGAATTTCCAAAATATTGTAGCTATCACATGCTCTTAGTCACATACATGTACACTGTTTGCATTGCCCAGCACTTTTTATGTCCCCACCTTATAGTGTGGGGCCATATTGTCAGCCTAGGCGCGTCTGTCTGTACGTCCGGCAGTTTTCTCCGAAACCACTACAGATATCTCCTTCAAATTTTTAGGGATAACTCTTGAGTGCATACAGATGTGGATCAAAAATTTTTCACTTGACACCTACTTCCTGTTGGCCATTTTGAAGTCAAATGCTAAAATCCTTGTGTGCAAACTGCAAAGAAAAACAGCTTCACAGTTGCCTTTAAAACTTTAACATTTTGTTCAGCTCACTTCATTCTACATCTGATTAGGTTTTGGACCTGTTAGCTCAGTCATGGCAGCTATTTTGAATGTCTTAAGAAAAGTTAGCGCGCGATAATACTTTGTGTCCTATTTGAATGGTGTTTTTGAGTTTTCATACTTTAACTATTTAGTAGCTCCATCTCTATCCTTCTGGAGAGACCGTGGTCTTATGTGGACTTAAATTCGATCTCCGCGATCCTCAAATCAAGCTTTTTGACCTCTCTAATCAGAAGCATGAAACGCGATGACGTATGTTGATTGACATGAGATTTAAGGGTGCGGTAGGTGCTTCACCTCAGTCCAACACAATACACAGAATGACATCGCTAGTGAGTCTATCCCATCGTAAAACTGAATTTTAACTTTGAACTGAGACTAATCATAAGCTTAGGGAAAGTTGTATCTCGATATGAAAATAATCGTTGAATAAAAACAGCTTTAGCACTTAAATATTCCTGTCTAATCTCATCTAAATCATAGTTACATTACATGAGATCTATAGATAGCATTTAATCAATGAATAAAAGAGATTTGAAATTTTGAATTATAAAGACATTAACGAATTTGGGGATAGCTGTCACGATGACTATGGAAGGTCATGTGACTCTTTCGTTCAGTTGGAATTTATCCGATAAAACGTTGACCGTGGTATGTTTGTTTCCTTATCGCAATTTAGTCAAAAGATGTTTAGGTGTTTAAATCAAGTATTTCCTGATTGGTTCATCTCATTGTTCCTTATTCAATACTTCACAACTTAAATTGATATTATGAATATTTGGGCCCGCCCCTTTGATCGGCATTACAACCTCGCAGATGCAACAGAGAGAGTTACTATGAGTATCAAAATGTGTACAACTATAATATTGGGAAGTCTAAGAAAATGTTGTATTATGCTATTTTGTTCAAACAAGCTTTGGAAAGATATTTTATTTCATTCTCAATTAAGAAATGGTAAAATGGTAAAAGGGAACAAAAAACAATTACACTAAAAAAAAAAAATGTTATATAAAATATATATAAATTATTTTTGCATTAAATTGTTGTCAATCAGTCAACATTACATAAAGAACCATGTTTTTTACAGAATGTTTTCAATAATTGGTTTAAGAGAAAAACATTGTTGAATTCAGTTCTCCATATCAATACCAATCCTTTTAATGATAACCCATTGGTGGGGACATGTTGTACACATTTGTGTTCTTGTATTAGTATAATTATTATCCCTTTGAATGAAGTTTGGAGGGAATTTTGGATTTCATTCAGAATATGGCGCAGAATTTGACTGTTTCACGCAGAATTTCTGCAAAGAAATTTGCGGCTCATCAACTTTTTGTGGATGAGGGGGGTTCATCTTCAATATACCAATACCACAATTTGTATTCAATAAAAAAAGCTAATAAACCATTTTTATTTATTCAAATTTAATTCTCTTGTATCCATACAAATAAATGATTTGGACTTCATTAAAATGCTTAAAAGTGAATTTGTTTTATCATTTTTGTCATTGTTTACATCTTTATACTTTAACCACTCCATAATACATGTATTTTTCTTTGACATAAGGCATTTTGACAAAAAGCTTAGTACAAAAAGCTTAGTAACAATAGATTTTTTGCCTTTGTAACAGTGCTGTGTAAGTGCTTCATAATATAGCAATTAAACCTGTTGTATATCTCTACAATCATATGATAAGTAAAGAATAGTTACTATTGAATGTCATTATTTAATTGTGAAAGGTAATTGTATACAAAATATCAGATCATTTTGAGTGATATCATTTTTATTGATGAATTATATCAAACATTAACTCAAACGAGAGAAGCAAATGAGTTGATTTTTGACATCTATGAGGCAATAAAATGATATGATTCACTAGAAATGATCTAATAATGGGTTTATCCCATGATAACTATCAAAAATTAAATATAAAACAATTTTTTATATCCCACGGATCTCCATAATATCAGAAATATCACTCTGTTTATATTGTATATATATAACGCAATAATCTTTTCATGGGATCAATTGTACACATATCATATAGCATATGAACTTTTTCATATCATTAACACGTAATCAATGTCAGCAATCAGTGGCTTCACTCTATTTTTCTGATGCTAATATTAATCTCTTGATAAAAATGAAATCACTAAAATCATAATACATATTGTTGTATTTATACAGTCATTATAATTATTATGCTGAATTTACTTACATATAACAAGCATTGTCTTTATAATGATAATTTACAAAGGGGAAAATGAATAGGTATACATGTATTCAAAGGCAAAACGTTGTTCTTCTCCACCCTATAGTTCACTCTCTCCATGTGTAGGACCCTCAGCCTGTATTATATCCCCACCTTGTGTAATACCCCCATCTGGACTGCTTGATGTTCTATATTCATATAACATTAATGCACTATGGAACCTAAAATATATAGCCAATGTGAAAAATAAATGCACAATGACCAACCAATTTTCACAACCAAAGTAATGCTCTTGAACAGGGGAGGCATTTGTAAACTTAACCTCTACAATACTATCTGAAAACCAGTGGCCAAAATTGAGAATCATAAGAAAAGAAAACCAGCTGGATAATCTTAGGTTGTCAATTTTCTGCCTCTCAATGCCTTTTAATATGATGATTAGATATACTTGGAGAAATATTTGGATCAACCTGAAAGTCTGACGGAACAGACTTACCCATCCAATCATCAAAAAATTATCAATGCTTACTTTCTCATTTGGAACATTGTGAATTGAAGCACTACATTGATTTGGCCAGTTGGGGTCAACATTTTGAGAGATGAAGGTTGGAATAACAGATATGTATGTAAATGACACATCAATGACAAGACCAAGAGATGAGATTAATAAGATTACACATTCTGCATTAATCTTTCCTGATATCTTCACTGTATCTGGTTTCTGTAAATAATATATGATAATAACACTCACAATTAAGAGAACCAAGTCATAGACTAGTTGTACATAGGTAACCAGAATAATTGCTATGGTGTATAGTTTCTACATATAACATCACCTCAGACAAAACACTGAATGATGCCAACACAATTCCCAAAACCACCAGACAGTTATCTCCACATTTATGTCTGTTATGTCCAGGAATAAGTGGATCTCGCTCAGTAGGTTCATCTATGTCACCTCTGTCAGCTCCATTGTTACCTCTGTTAGCACCAGTGGCACCTCTGCCAGTAATAATTTCACCTCTGTCAGCATCAATATCACCTCTGACAGCACTAATGTCACCTCTGGCAGCACCAATGTCACCTCTTATGGCACGATTGCCAGCATATTCGATTGTTTTTTTTTGATCGTTTATGTTTAAATCGGCCCAAGTATGCATCAATATACTAGTTGCTAAGATACAAAATTCCATCTGCATGGGATAAAGATAAGTTTCTGCAAACTTCACTGGCTTTTGATTCTCATTCTCACCATGTAGACACTCATTCACATTCTTTTGCGCAGTTTCATTCAGTGTTGTTATGGTTGATATGTTATAATCTATAATTTCATCAGGAAATATGTGTTTTGCCTCAAACAGAAATGAGTAGATCCAAAGACTTAAATTTGTCACTGCAGTCAATGTGAACACGAAAGAACACTCAGATTTCGGGCGTTTTGGAATGTTACTATAGTTGAACCGCATCAGAAATAATATCTGCCATATCATAAAAATTGGTTTGCAGACCAGAAAAACCAGATCGATTATTTTTTCAATAAATAATTCATGAAAGTGTTTATAAGCACCAAGACACCCAGTTGTTGCTATAATACTTAGAATACTATAAACAAGTGTGAAGGAAGAGAATGCTAAAAGACTCTTGATTGTTATGTTAACTGTATCTGTGGATGTCCATGAGTTGTGCTTCCATATTTGGTCATTTCTTCTTGAGAACATTGATTGCAGCGCCATTGTAAATACTTCCATAATAAGCAGAAAGCTGAGTAAAATTATCTCTGGAACCCCATTTGTGTTATTGATTGTGAGCCAACGTGAGAGTCCAACTGGTGCAAATATTGCCAAAAGCACAGCCATAGATATAGTGTTTAAAACATTCCAAGCACATTCAGCCATCTTTTTCGAATTTTGTCAACTTTATTCTTATTGCCTCATGAAAGTGATTAGTTGACTATTTGATGTTACGATATATTGAATGTGAAAACATCAGATCTTGAACCTTAAAATCTCATTGAAATATACTACATCCTACAGACCAATCAGATTTTTTGTTTTAAATTTTGTATTCCATATATGGGCACATATATGATTTGCAAGTTTTTTGTGGAATTGCCCCAGTTCTCTAAGAATTGCTATGAATAGAAATTCTAGTAATACAATATCAGCTCCTTCAATCTTCATATGGCATCTTAATTGATAAAAACAAGAGGCATTACTTGAAGGAGGTTAACAATTAATAATAAGCATACGTGTGTAACACATGTGATCATTTTCTTATGGCAGCATAGGTGATATAGGAGTGAAAAAGTCACAAACAAAAGAACAATTGAAAATTGATCATATAGCCAAAAATATATTTTAGTGCTGAAACAAGTTTTAATAAGCTTGCACACTGGATCTAATTTTGCATTCATTAATGTCAGAACTTATGATACATGTGTTTCATTCAAAATTCAGAGAGCAATAAAAGTTTATTTTTATTTGTCCATGGCATAAGGTGAAAGATATGAGCCTTCAGAAATGAAAGGTGTAGAAGTTTTCAAAAAGAAATAAGATATGTTGATAAATATACAAGTATAAGCAATAGAGTTATAAGGAAAATATGTATTGATATTGTCATGTGCCAATCATTGTTGATAGCAATAACATTCCATTAACCATTTAGGTGTCACCCTGTATTGTATATTATATTATCGTCATGTGCCAATCATTTTTGATAGCAATAACGTTCCATTAACCATTTAGGTGTCACCCTGTATTGTATATTATATGATTGTCATGTGCCAATCATTGTTGATAGCAATAACGTTCCATTAACCATTTAGGTGTCACCCTGTATTGTATATTATATGATTGTCATGTGCCAATCATTGTTGATAGCAATAACGTTCCATTAACCATTTAGGTGTCACCCTGTATTGTATATTATATGATTGTCATGTGCCAATCATTGTTGATAGCAATAACGTTCCATTAACCATTTAGGTGTCACCCTGTATTGTTTATTATATGATTGTCATGTGCCAATCATTGTTGATAGCAATAACTTTCCATTAACCATTTAGGTGTCACCCTGTATTGTTTATTATATGATTGTCATGTGCCAATCATTGTTGATAGCAATAACGTTCCATTAACCATTTAGATGTCACCCTGTATTGTATATTATATGATTGTCATGTGCCAATCATTGTTGATAGCAGTAACATTCCATTAACCATTTAGATGTCACCCTGTATTGTATATTATATGATTGTCATGTGCCAATCATTGTTGATAGCAGTAACATTCCGTTAACCATTTATGCGTCACCCTGTATTGTATATTATATGATTGTCATGTGCCAATCATTGTTGATAGCAGTAACATTCCATTAACCATTTAGGTGTCACCCTGTATTGTATATTATATGATTGTCATGTGCCAATCATTGTTGATAGCAGTAACATTCCATTAACCATTTATGTGACACCCTGTATTGTATATTATATGATTGTCATGTGCCAATCATTGTTGCTAGCAGTAACATTCCATTAACCATTTATATGACACCCTTTATTGTATATTATATGATTGTCATGTGCCAATCATTGTTGATAGCAGTAACATTCCATTAACCATTTATGTGACACCCTGTATTGTATATTATATGATTGTCATGTGCCAATCATTGTTGATAGCAATAACATTCCATTAACCATTTATATGACACCTTGTATTGTATATTATTTGATTGTCATGTGCCAATCATTGTTGATAGCAATAACATTCCATTAACCATTTAGGTGTCACCCTGTATTGTATATTATATGATTGTCATGTGCCAATCATTGTTGATAGCAATAACGTTCCATTAACCATTTAGATGTCACCCTGTATTGTATATTATATTATCGTCATGTGCCAATCATTGTTGATAGCAATAACTTTCCATTAACCATTTAGATGTCACCCTGTATTGTATATTATATGATTGTCATGTGCCAATCATTGTTGATAGCAATAACGTTCCATTAACCATTTAGGTGTCACCCTGTATTGTATATTATATGATTGTCATGTGCCAATCATTGTTGATAGCAATAACTTTCCATTAACCATTTAGGTGTCACCCTGTATTGTTTATTATATGATTGTCATGTGCCAATCATTGTTGATAGCAATAACGTTCCATTAACCATTTAGATGTCACCCTGTATTGTATATTATATGATTGTCATGTGCCAATCATTGTTGATAGCAGTAACATTCCATTAACCATTTAGATGTCACCCTGTATTGTATATTATATGATTGTCATGTGCCAATCATTGTTGATAGCAGTAACATTCCGTTAACCATTTATGCGTCACCCTGTATTGTATATTATATGATTGTCATGTGCCAATCATTGTTGATAGCAGTAACATTCCATTAACCATTTAGGTGTCACCCTGTATTGTATATTATATGATTGTCATGTGCCAATCATTGTTGATAGCAGTAACATTCCATTAACCATTTATGTGACACCCTGTATTGTATATTATATGATTGTCATGTGCCAATCATTGTTGCTAGCAGTAACATTCCATTAACCATTTATATGACACCCTTTATTGTATATTATATGATTGTCATGTGCCAATCATTGTTGATAGCAGTAACATTCCATTAACCATTTATGTGACACCCTGTATTGTATATTATATGATTGTCATGTGCCAATCATTGTTGATAGCAATAACATTCCATTAACCATTTATATGACACCTTGTATTGTATATTATTTGATTGTCATGTGCCAATCATTGTTGATAGCAATAACATTCCATTAACCATTTAGGTGTCACCCTGTATTGTATATTATATAATTGCCATGTGCCAATCATTGTTGAAAGCAATAACATTCCATTAACCATTTAGGTGTCACCCTGTATTGTATATTATATGATTGTCATGTGCCAATCATTGTTGATAGCAATAACATTCCATTAACCATTTATATGACACCTTGTATTGTATATTATTTGATTGTCATGTGCCAATCATTGTTGGTAGCAATAACATTCCATTAACCATTTAGGTGTCACCCTGTATTGTATATTATATGATTGCCATGTGCCAATCATTGTTGAAAGCAATAACATTCCATTAACCATTTAGGTGTCACCCTGTATTGTATATTATATGATCGTCATGTGCCAATCATTGTTGAAAGCAATAAGATTCCATTAACCATTTATATGACACCCTGTATTGTATATTATATGATTGTCATGTGCCAATCATTGTTGATAGCAATAACATTCCATTAACCATTTATGTGTCACCCTGTATTGTATATGATATGATTGTCATGTGCCAATCATTGTTGATAGCAGTAACATTCCATTAACCATTTATGTGACACCCTGTATTGTATATTATATGATTGTCATGTGCCAATCATTGTTGATAGCAATAACGTTCCATTAACCATTTATATGACACCCTGTATTGTATATTGTATGATTGTCATGTGCCAATCATTGTTGATAGCAATAACATTCCATTAACCATTTATGTGTCACCCTGTATTGTATATGATATGATTGTCATGTGCCAATCATTGTTGATAGCAATAAGATTCCATTAACCATTTATATGACACCCTGTATTGTATATTGTATGATTGCCATGTGCCAATCATTGTTGATAGCAATAACATTACATTAACCATTTATGTGTCACCCTGTATTGTATATGATATGATTGCCATGTGCCAATCATTGTTGATAGCAATAACATTCCATTAACCATTTATGAGACACCCTGTATTGTATATTATATGATCGTCATGTGCCAATCATTGTTGATAGCAATAACATTCCATTAACCATTTATGAGACACCCTGTATTGTATATTATATTATCGTCATGTGCCAATCATTGTTGATAGTAAAGTAACACTTTATGCAACACCCTGTATATTCTATGTTCTTCTTGTGCTTATAATTGTTGATATCAGTAACATTTCAATAACCATTTATGTGAAACCCTGTATATTATATGTTTTTCAGGTGTTGATTTTTGCTGAGAAGAAACAAGATGTAGATGCTATACACGAGTACCTGTTGTTGAAGGGTGTAGAAGCTGTAGCAATACATGGAGGAAAAGGTGACACTTTGAATGTATAGCTTGCAATTACTAAGGGGATATAGCTTTCATTCATTTATGGGAATTAACCTTTTGGCCCAGAATGGTGAAAATGAATGGTTATTTGCTTGCAAATTGTCTTTTATGTAATTTTTAGATATATGTCGCATCATACATATTGTTAGTTTTTGAAATAGCCGTCAGAAACGGAGCATAGTGAACTAAAATCTTTAGTAAAAATGGTTAGAAAAATATATATAAAAATATAATTGGTATCCTCCTCCATCAAAGAGTATGTACTCAAATGCTCAGATATAAGCCTGAAAAAGTTAGGTGTGCATTTTGGTTGATGATTAAAATGTGCATTCATCATTCATCAGAGCTGCGGTTCACCTCTAAACAAGACTTTAAAGAAGACATGTTTTTGGGTTGATTTTCTGGTCAGATGAAATGTTTGTTTCTTAGAATGTGCACTGGTTATCTTATCCATTTCTGTTAAAAGCCTCTTCATCCACTTTTGGTGTAATTCTGAAAAATACATACTTATTCACTTAGACACAGACACATACATGTACAGATTGTACAACATAAACTTTGACATAACCTTTGTCAGTTTGTAGTCTGAAATGATGAATCAACTTCTACATTTTCTATGAAATCATATTTTGACTTATCTGTTTCATTTACTTAGAATTAGCAGTGCTACTTCCAAAATGGAATCCTAAACTAGAAATACAGAAGTTTGTAGAAATTGCAGATACCTTCAAAATTCAGAATATCGCTAATGCAAAAACCTCAAAGTGTGAACACCTTATATAATCCACACACTTTTAGTCAGTCCTAATGGCATGTAGTTGATTACATTTTGGGCATGTACATTTTTGGACCATTTTGAAATGATCACTTGGTTCATAACTCGCAAAAAAGAGGTTTTGACTAATAAATCAATATATATTTTTCAGATCAAGAAGACCGTGTACGTTCCATAGATCAGTTCAGGTCAAAAGCTAAAGATGTCCTTGTGGCTACAGATGTGGCATCAAAAGGGTTGGATTTTGCAGAAATCAAACATGTCATTAACTATGACATGCCAGAAGATATTGAAAATTATGGTATGTTTTTATATTTTTATGGTCTTCGTTTTCTTGTGACTGCGATTGGCGGTTGGTGATCGGTGGGTGGCGGTTGGTGATCCGCGGGTGGCGGTTGGTGATCAGCGGGTGGCGGTTGGCGTCTGTAACAAATTCTTAAAACTTTCAATAACTTAACAAATACTGTTTAGACTGACTTCAGTATTTTTCAAAATCATCTATACTACAAATTATCAGAAGTTCAAATCTGACTTTAGATTTGAGATTTGACCTTCTGAGGGTAAAAAAAAAGGTCAAAAAGATCTTTCAACTTGCTTCAAATTGACCACTTCTTTTTCAAAATCATCTAGAAGTTCTCAAAAGTTCATATCTGACTATAGATTTGACCTTCAATGACATTCTCAAGGTCAAAAAAATATTTGACCTTCAATGACCTTCTCAAGGTCAAAAAGGTTTTTCAACTTGCTTCAAATTGACCAATTTTTTTTCAAAATCATCTACAAGTTCTCAGAAGTTCAAATCTGACTTAAGATTGAGCTAATAATAATTGTGAGCATTTTGTCATGTTAACGCCTTTTATGATCTTGCATTCAATCTAGAGATACCGTGAGTGCTTGAGCAATTTATGTCATATACAAGTGATGAATATCAGTCTATTTGTTTTCAAAATGAAAGTAAATAACTTTAAAATAACATTTTCGAAGCATTATCTAAGTTAAAACCAACAAATGACCAAATGTCTTGATCAAAAGTTATAATAACTTATTCATCAATATATCTTCTTCATCTCTACGAACTTCTTAAGATAATTCATTCATTAATAAAAGTAAAATACAGACGCTGAATGGTCAAAGTGGCTGGAAGCTAAAGCCCAATGTTCACATATTAATCACCACACCACCACTTTCTTGTGGCATAAAATGGAACTCAATAAGGTAAAAATCACATTTACATTAACTTTAACATTATCGTGTACTTTTTTGATTATACCCAATATATGAATATTTATTATATCTTCACCCATCCTAAATTGTGTAGTTTAGAGAGATATATTCTCACGACAATAATTGACACTCTCAGATGGTAGGGAAAAAATGATCAAAGGAAATGTAAAAACACAACATTTTCCAACCAGTCAAATATGTTGGTAGATTTACCCAGAAAAAACTTGAGCATTGCTCCGGAATCTGTTAAGATGTGATAAGAAAGTTTAAAATCTTATCTTATAACACAGCTGAACTGTACAACAGTATTTTCTGTCACTGTACATTGTCAGTGGTTAGGTGTGTGTAAATATGTACTGTAAATTGCTTTAAACCCATTTTAATTTGGTGGATTGACTTTCAATATTTTGATTGTTACCCAATTCTTTTAAGTTTTAGCTCATATATGAAGGTAAAACCTCCTTGTGTCACCAAACTGTAACCTGGCCACATGACATTCTACTTAGCCTTCCAATATCCATATTTAACTGATGCCAAATTGCATAGCAGCCAAAATTTCAAAAGTTGCCCAATCAGCGATTTTAAATAGCGCCAAATTAAAGCAATTTACAGTATATGATTTAGTGTGTACTTAAACAGCTGCTATTGGGGACATATCCGGACAAAAAATAGTTTATCTAATAGTACAGTAGTCAATTGGGTACACAGTAATAACTTGTAGCATGATTAATATTGATATGATTTGAGACAGTTGGTTTCAGACCTCCCAACAGATGGCGAAGAATTCTTTGGGTTTATTTGTACACATTAGTAGATGTTTTACTTCCAAGTGGCAAAGATAAAATTTAGTAGTAATCTATTGATGTTGAATGTGTGAATGTACAAGTAAAGAATTAATTTACTCATATAATTACATCATAAAATGTAGATTGGGCTTCAATTTTCTTTCAATTTAACTTCGATATAAAAAATGTTAAAAATACAACAGGAAAACACACTATTGATTTTTATTGCAGTTTATATTATCATCATAGCCACCACTAAATATTATATAAACCTATAGAATGAAAATATTTTGAAAATATTGTAAAAATGTTCATCAAATGTTTAAAAGTGTTTCTCTTTTAGAGAATACATGATCAGATGATAGTGCCAGGATTAAAATTGTTCTATCAGAAGTACATGCTTTTATAAAATAGAAATAATTTGATAAATGAATGTAAATTTTATTCACTATCCTTGTTATTCTTTTATTATACAGTTAGTTGCACATGTATAATTTCTGACTGCTTTTTTCAGTTCATCGTATTGGTCGTACAGGTCGCCAGGGTAAACATGGGATAGCTACTACATTCATCAACAAAGCAATAGGTTTGTCTGCTGAATAATTTTAAAGAATTACCCTGCACCAATGGTGCCCTTGTCTTTCTGAAAGCCCGTACTTTCTATACTTTTTGTCTCAAAAACTATTACCACAACACCATGTGAGCCAATCATCCAAAGTACTATTTATATATTTCAAAGTAATATTGTTTCATAGCATATCATACTATAAAATTCAACAATTTACCCAAATTAGTTAGGCTAATATATTTTTATCCCCCCGAACGAAGTTTGTAGGGACATAGAAAAGCCGTCTGTCCGTTTGTTTGTCCATCCATCCATTTGTTTGTTTGTTTGTGTGTCTGAGCAATAACTCAAATACTGGTTGACCGGTTTGATTCAAATTTTATAGGCTTATGCCTTATGAGTGTAGGACCTCTGCTTGACAAGGAATTTTCAATATGGCTGCTCAATTCAAAATGGGCAATATTTTTTGTAAAAAATATAATCTTTGATTATTCAAATACTAGTTGACAGATTTGCTTCAAATTTTTTTATATGCTGATGCCTATTGGCATAGGAGCTCTGCCCAAGAAGGGATTTTCAAGATGGCTGCTGAATTTCAAAATGGCCCCATTTTTCATAAAAAACTTAATCTTTGATAACTCATTATACCAGTGGACAGATTTGGTTTAAATTTTATATGCTGATGGCTAGGCACATTGGAGCTCTACCCAAGAAGGAATTATCAAGATAGAGGCTGAATTTCAAAACGGCTGCCATTTTATTAAAAGAACGTTATCTTTGATAACTCGAATACCATTTGACAAATTTTATATGCTGATGCCTAGAGACAAAAGGAGCTCTGTATAAGAAGACATTTTCAAGATGACCTCTGAATTTCAAAATGGCTGCCATTTTTAAAAGAAATGTAATCTTTGATAACTCAAAAACCGGAGGATGGCCAGATTTGGTTCAAATTTTATATGCTGATGCCTAGCAACAAAGGAGCTCTGCTTGAGAAGAAATTTTCAAGATGGTAACTGAATTTCAAATGGCTGCCATTTTTCTTAAAACAATCTCAATCTTTGATAACTCAAATACCAGTGGATTGATTTGGTTCAAGGAGCTCTGCTCAAGAAGAAATTTTCAAGATGGCCGCTATTTATCAAATCATGTTTTGTTTGGTGGGATTTGCTACTGAGTGCACTGATGGACCCTAAATTTTCATTTTTGAAAAAAACAGATTATAATTTTGGATTTCTCATTTCAGATGAATCAATACTACTCGACTTGAAACATCTATTGATAGAAGCCAAACAAAATGTCCCACCATTCCTGATGCAACTTGAGTCAGAGAATGAGAAGTATTTGAACATTGGAGGGGAGGTTGGATGTTCCTATTGTGGTGGTTTGGGCCACAGGATAACTGACTGCCCCAAACTAGAGGCCATGAGAAGTAAAGAAGCAGCTGGTATTGGCCGCAAGGATTACCTCGCAAATAGCTCAGCAGATTGGTAGCCATCCTGGTTTGCCTTGTTGGCAGCTTTAGATTGTGTGTTAAAATGTCAGGATTATTGGTAGCCATTTTGAATTGTCAATGGCCATTTTAGATTATGGAGATTATTTAGATTATCTTGGATAATTGTAAACAATCACAGAAGTGTTATATTATCTGAGTTATGATTGGTTGAAAAGGTTGTTTAAAATCCTAACAGTTTGCCTGCTCAACCTAAATGGACTCAGTTGTCATGGGATAACTAGCTGTTCCATAGAATGTTCATCTGTAAAGTATGCTAGAATATCCACAGACCAGTGCTTGTGATGAACCTTAATCCTTGCATTTAAGTCATATACTGAAGGACATTGGCACCAATTTTTGTCGGCTGGGAAAAATAGATAAAATGTTAAGCATAAATCATACCACATCAAATAATAAATATCATTGCGATATTTATGGAAAGCTTATTGATCTTGATTTTTACATAAAGCTCTTCATATATCACCCTCATTAATGTATAAGTACAGAATCAATTATGTTTAATTTTGATGTTTTGGTTTATGTTAATCCATTTTCATCAAATATGCTTTGTACATGGTGTTCCATATGTTTCAGGAATGATGCTGTGTTTTATTGGTTTTCTTTTCAATCTAACTGAATTTTTGACACAATGTGTCTAAACATGTTTTTAATAAATTGGGAAAGTTTCATATCGTGAAGTTCAGTAGTCGTAATTATATGGTTGTTATAGTAACCTAGGGGTAGGGTAGGTGGAGCAGGTGTAACAACGCGCAAAATATATGAAATATTTGTAAAAATAGTTTTTTTGTACGAAGTGTGACTAAGTATTAGGTTGTCAGAGTTGGATCAAATTTGTCAGTAATTAAACAAAAAATGAAGGTGGATTCCAAGAAAGTAAAAAAATGTCATCACCCTTGATCACATCACAATTTAAACACCTGTCATGTCATGAGTCACAAATGAGAATAAACACAGGTCATTTTGGATGAGGGGCCATCTTGAAAAGTAAAAAAGTCATTAGCAAACGAAAACCTTCGACTTAGGCAACACACAACAATCTGTGACAAGACATGACATGTGTGAATAACAGTTTTCTGCAGCAGACACAATTAAACTCCTGACGAATGCACATGGGGACTCAATGATGGTAACCTCTAGAGTGTATGAGGGGTACAAGCGGTTCAAATCTCGAAGGGAAACGGACACCGATTATCCAAAATGTGGATTTCCGAGAACAGTGAGAGCGCTAACTAATACGGAAGGGATAGATGCTGAAATAATGATGATGGCTAATAAAGGGCGTGATAACATTTTTAATTTCCAGGAATCCACCTTTATTCTTTGTAATTTCCAACAAGTTTGATGCGACAAATGACAAATTAATACTTTGAACACTTTATACAAAAACTACTATTTTTACAAAAATGTCATGTTTTGCGCGTTGTTACACCTACTTCATCTACCCTACCCCTAGGTTACTATAGCAACCATATTATTCAGTCTACTGAGTTTCATGTAGCTTGCCCAAGTCAGTATTTTTATCCCAACGAACGAATTTCGGTAGGGATATAGTGAAGCCCTCCGTCCGTCAGTCAGTCCGTCCGTCCGTCCTACCGTCCGTCCGTCCGGAAGATAACTCAAATATTAGTTGACGGATTTTCTTCATATTTGGTGGAAAGATGTATATTGATGAATAGTTTTACGCAAAAAAAAGATGGCCGCCGCTTTAAAAATGACGGGACTTTTTCGCAAAAATCATAAATTTTTATTCTAAACCAAAGTAATTAATATTATTGTTTGAAATTTTGGTAGTATATTCGCAACATCTATCTATTTCACATTTATTCTGTGTTTTTCATACTGACCCCCAGGGGCTGTGTATGGGGGGTCAGGAAAACAGAAGTTTTCGCTAATTTTTAGATCTTTCTGAAGTATAGCTTTATTATACTCAAATGAAAGGCAATTAAGAGTAGATTGCAAATATTGTATCTTTTTTCTGATTCGAGCCTCGTAAAATTCAAAATGGCCGTCTAATGCACGATTTCGCAATAATTTTTTGATCCCTTCAAAGTATGGCTATATAATACTCAAATTAAAGGAATTTTGGAGTAGATCACAATTGTGGTATTATTTTTCAGATTTGTACCTCAGAAAATTCAAAATGGGTTTTTTCCAGATGGCCGCCGCTTTAACAATGATGGGACTTTTTCGCAAAAATCATAAATTTTTCATTCTAAACCAAAGTAATTAATATTATTGTTTGAAATTTTGGTAGTTTATTCGCAACATCTATCTATTTCACATATATTCTGTGTTTTTCATCCTGACCCCCAGGGGCCATGTATGGGGGCTCAGGAAAACAGAAATTTTTGTTAATTTTTAGATCTTTCTGAAGTAAAGCTTTATTATAATCAAATGAAAGGCAATTAAGAGTAGATTGCAAATATTGTATCTTTTTCTGATTCGAGCCTCGTAAAATTCAAAATGGCCGTCTAATGTACGATTTCGCAATAATTTTTCGATCCCTTCAAAGTATGGCTAGATAGTACTCAAATTGAAGGAATTTTGGAGTAGATCACAATTATGGTATTATTTTTCAGATTTATACCTCAGAAAATTCAAAATGACTGCTTTGCAAGAATTCGCAATTCTAAAATCTAAATTTTTCAATTTTAACCAAAGTAATGAGTATAATTGATTGGAATTCGGTAATTGATATTTTGTTCGTTGGGATTTGCTACTCCGCGGAGTTGCCGTTATCTAGTTTACTTATCTGATCTTGAATTATTACCGGCGGTCATTATAGAAATCAAGATAAGTAAAAGAGACTGACTTGGGCAAGGCTAAGTTTCATTATATGAAACTTTTCCAACTTATTCACAACATATTTTGACACATTTTGTCAAAAAATCAGCTAGATTGAAAAGAAAACCAATAAAATACTAGTACAGCATCATTCCTGAAACATATGGAACACCCTGTATATGCGTATGTAAATCTAAATCTATATTTTGACATAGAAAGTGTACTTAACTGACCTTTTTAGGAAGACCAGCTTAATGATAGAGACCCAGAATAAATATTGTTTTCAAATCAAGTACCGGTATTTTGTTTATGGATACTGTTGTCATGTGTTTGGCAGTTTTTAGCTGAAAAAATTATTGTTTTTTTTATGCAAACTAGGGGTCAGATTTCTACCAAGTATGTCGATTTGACTAGATCCACGAGTATATCGTTATATCATATATGTGTGAAGTTTCGGAGAAATTCATACTATACATTGTTGCCTATAAGCGCCTTCAATTTTCTCAAAATAGGGGGGCGCTTAACTGCTCTAAATCATGTCAGTAAGATCTTAGACTTGGCCTGTGCTCATCATCAATTACCCAAATGTAAATCATATGTATGCCAAAGTAATCAATAACACCATCAATTTTGACATGCGTCAAATTATCCTCCATTTCGTCTGATTCTGATTGAACGAAATGCGATGGTACTTTCAGACCCTTGTGATTGCTATTTGGATGTGTTTGTTTTTTTTGAATTTCCTGCCAGTTTAATTTGAAGGGGAAAAAACAAGATGGTTGCCATTTGATGTAATATCAGAAAAAAGTTGCTTCACTTTTAGTTTTCACAATGAGCACAGTTTTCTGGTTTAGGTTTTTTGACTGATTCTGACTCTTCATCACCAGGGTCATGTATAGAGATTATAAAATTGAAACCAAAATGTGCTCAGCATGAATTTGACTGAAATATGTGTAATAGCATCACCAACACAATTGAAGTCTCAAAACTGGATGCTCAGTAACTTTGAGTGACTATAATCCCTTGATTACCCAGATAAACACCAATTCACTTATCCAGAAATACCATTCAATGTCTATACAAAGAAAGTAACCAATGTTTTGGAAGATATGTTTCAAACTTTTTGCATAATTAATTCATTTAATATTTGCCATTGATTTTTTTCAATTCAGACAAAGTGATATGCACTTTCTTTGATGCCAATATTCTTCATCGATTGTGATACAAATTGATATTTTTGTAATCTCAGAAGAAGAATAAGATATTGAAGTTTAATAATATAGGTGATTGAGTTGGTTTTTCAGACATTACAATTTTCAATATTTTCTAAGTCGATACCCAGACTCATTCCCAGGCTCATCCTTTAAAGAGAACTTTTTACCTATAATAGCAAAACTTTTGTTTTATTTGTGCATTCTATCTATCAGATAAGAGTCTCAGGGGTATTTAGGCAAATCCATTTTGGTAGGAGCACTCTGTTTAGTTTGAAAACCCACCCTTTTTATTAATTACTGTCAGCACTGTAACAGTATATTGTTATTCAAAAGTAAACCCCACCTTAGTAGAGTGTCTATGTTTCCTAAGTGACATCCATACATTCAAGTAGATTTCATGTTAAAGGATTGGGTGAAATACATATTTAAGTGAAACCCACCAGAATGTACAGATTGTACAAACCTCAGGAAATGGGTTGGGCGGGAGGGTAACTTATTTTTCAATCATTTCCCAATTTCATGATATTTCATCCAAATTTCATGATATGTAAACTATTATCCATTCCATTCGCTAATGACTACCTCCCTCGAATTCCCTATTTAGAATAAACATTCACTCTACTCAATAATATAGATGTCACTTAGGAAATCTATGTTTCCTAAGTGACATCCATACATTCAAGTAGATTTCATGTTAAAGGATTGGGTGAAATACACATTTAATTTTACCCTTTACGGTGTATTTACATCCTGAATAATGTGATTTGTTAATTTTTACTACTCCCAATCCTCAAATCTTTAATAAAAAATTAACAAAAAACTAACGTGGACATCGGATTTGAGAGCAATCTCTAGTAGATGGTTTTCCATGATGTAATTATGAAGCTAATAAAACCTAAAATTGACCTCATATCAATGTTTCATTCATGAATTACTGGTGGGGAAAAATCAGTCCCCTAACATGAGTAATTAACCTCAATTGCCAATTACCTCCTACTGTGGAGAGACAACTCTCACATCCGAAGTCCACATGGTTAAAACCACTAAGAGATCTGAGTGCTCCCGGACTTTAGATGTAAAGAGAAGCCAATTGTTTATCAGACTTCACTAGTTTCAAATGTTACAAACTCAAGTCATTTTCAAATTAGTTTACAAGAGGGTACATGGAATTAAACCATTACATAACCAATCACTTGCATAGGTTATCCAGTCATGTCAAAACAATTCAACCTACTTTCTATTGAGTAAACCCCAGTTTTCATTCAATTGCCATTTACCAGATTATACCTGAGTGTCATTATTTTCGTCACACTGTACTATAACGTACTGTATAATGACCTCTAATTTTACTGTGTTATTAACACATTGAATTTCCAGTGTTCATTATAAGGCCATGTTATCAAGATTTTTCATGTCATCAATGTTCTATTTTTCTTTGTTTCTGTCAAATATTTGCCTCTCAGAAAACTTCTCTTATATTGTCTCATAGTTATATTTAATAGCCCCTTGCTCTGGCATATATCTCTGTATCTCTAGGCTCTCAAGGCCTTTTATTCATTACCCCTTATGGTTCTTTTTTTTTGCCCCCTGCTTGTGTATATATTTCCTTTTATTTTAGCCCCTTGCTCAGGCACCCCTTGCTCGGGCATTTATATCTAGGCCCTCAAAGCCTTTTATTTTAGCCCCTTGCTCGGGCATTTATATCTAGGCCCTCAAAGCCTTTTATTTTTAGCCCCTTGCTCGGGCATTTATATCTCTAGGCCCTCAAAGCCTTTTAATCTCTTGGCCCTCAAAGCCTTTTATTTTAGCCCCTTGCTCGGGCATTATATCTCTAGGCCCTCAAAGCCTTTTATTTTAGCCCCTTGCTCGGGCATGTAAATCAAAATATGCTTACCACTGCTGAATGTACGTCTGGCCACTTCGAATTCCCTATTTAGAATAAACATTCACTCTACTCAATAATATAGATGTCACTGAAGAAACATGCTCTTCCATTGATCTCAACTTCTCATGCTGTTTTTAACACAAGTTTTTGGTCTTGTTTTGATATTTATTAAACAAAGAAATAAACAAATAAAAATCAACAAGAATATATACTTTACTGGCAATTTATTTTTCCTGCAAATGTTTATACACAATAAAACATTGCCTACTTCAACAGCATCCATGGAAAGATACCCATGCTGGTATCTCATCATAAATCAATTTCATCTTGGATCAGAAAATAAATCTCGGTACAATCTTATATCAAATGTAACAAAAAATGAATAAAAATACTGATGCACATAAAATGTGATGACGATGATGTCTTTATGATGATGAGACGGATGAGGATGATAAATACAATGAGATCGTGATGAGGACAAAGCATTTACAAGAAAATTCATGATGAACAATCTTAAATATTTTGAAATAGGATACTGTAATTCGGTTAAAAAATGGCACTATCTGATTTGGGCTCCTCACTATTTTCTTGATTTAAATAGAAAGGCTAGCACTCACATTCAAGAACTTTCCATTGAATAAATAGTTCTAAGAAAACATTCAATCAGACATTTCTGCTAAAACACTCTTCCACAACTAGTTACTTTGACGGAATGTCAATGGAACGAAATGGATGAACTCCTGGATACATGTTTTTTATTTTCTTGATTTAAACCTTCTTATAAGTTGCGGATTATCATTTGACACAAAGTTAGACAATAATCTAGGTTTTAGAAATGCTCTTGGTTTGGAATTTGACTTTTAAATAAAGATGTAATTTATGCATTTAGACCATTGCTTTTGTTACATTGACGCAAGTTGTCAAAGTAACATACATTGGTAATATAATGGACTTTCGTCAATGTAACAAAAGCGAGGGACTAAATATGAATTGCAACTTCATTAACAAAAAGAAACTTATTAAAGCAAGACTATATTTTCTAGCTTTGTGCCAAATTATAATCTGCAATTTGACTTTACATTGACGTTCCGTCAAAGTAACTAGTTGTGGAACAGTGAAAAAGCTATAGCTAAGTTTTCTTAGGGGATTGTGTAAGACTGGCTTTACAAAGTTTATATGGATATAAATATTACATAAAAGGGACATGTTCTCACCATGAATGTTCTTGTAAAAACACACACACATGTTAAGGGGTACACATAAAAGTTAATGGTCAACAAATAAATCTTGATTCATATCATGCTTTTTAAAGCATCATGTTGCATTTAAAAGGACAACGAATATAGCAACAATCATACAGTTTAGTGTACAGCCTCAAGAGAAATGTTTAAAGTTAAGATTGAAACACCAGTGTGTACATGCACATTACTGATCATGAAGTTAACTTTATTACAGTATGCTCAAAGGTTTAAATCTTCAATGCTCAGTTGCATGAATACCTTTTGTATTAGGATTAACAGTATATATTTTGATTATAAAATAAATTTGAGATTTTGGCAAATATGGACAATGTTATATATTTAGTGTATGCGTTATTGAATGAGAAACAGAAATAAAAAGATGAGCCAAATCAAATGCTTAATGCAGCATGATTGCATATTTTTATCTCTAAATAACAGGAAATCTTTTTTATCAACCTGGAGAAGAGCTTTGTGTGGTCTGAATTCATTTTTAACTGATTAAGGACTGTCGGCAACTTTCACTTACACATAAGGAATGCATGAGTAGATTTCACAGTTAACAGTTTCAGCATTGCTACAAATAATAATAAATATACATCAGTAATTTTCATTTTATAACATGCGATACAGTCGGCAGTAGATAAGTAATATATACATGTGTAATATATACTTCATTTTTGGTTTATTATGCTACACATAATTCAGAAGTGGTCATCTCAGTTTCTAAATACCCTAGTAATCAACAAATTTTACTCAAAATACCTTCATCAAAACATCTCATGATTTTCCTTCATTTTTTGAGTATAAACACTTCCAACAATGAATTTATGATAGAAGATATCCCCTTAATTAGCATTTAAAAATCTGAATTCAAATTTGAAAAGCTGATAAATTCATGTTTGAAAATACAAAAAATATAAATACATGTTATGATGTAGTTTGACAATTGAGAGGGAGGTAATTACAAGAAACAGTCAACTCTCAAATGTGCATAATTTGTGACTTTAAGCGAATGCTAACATTTTTCAGAGTGTGTTGATAAGTGGAAGTTCATTGGTTTCTAAAGTAAAATGTCTATTCTTGTATCAATATATTTTCATATTTATCAATAGGGAAATTAATTGTGAAAATGATATGAGTGAGACCTGATTGACATCGTAACCTTGGCAATCATTTGACAAAAATATTAGCCTTTAACACATCAAAATGCATCTCCATATGAATTATAATTTACTGTATATCTGCAAAACAAATTGCAACTTGAGATGAATGTGAGGCAACATTGTCCAATTTCACAGAAAAGATGCAGAAAGACACCTGTAAACAAGATGTATATAAGATGGTCTCACATCCTCCGAAACTTCTGATAATGTGATACATTTTGATAAAGGTAAGAATCAGGCAATCATGACAAGATTTGTGATGGAAACCGTCAACCCACCCATGAATAAAATGTCACTGGCTCATGTTTATAAATATACAACAAATACAGCAGAAATGAAATTTCCGAGGAATAGAGAATGGATGTAATAAATCCTCTAAATTGTACCAAAATGACATAAATACTTCCTTAATTTTTGAAAGATTACATGCCCAGTCACATTTTACCTATGGTATGGGCATATAGATGAATAAATGATCAACTCAGTCAATCTGGTGGAAATTTTCATGACATGATTGGGTAGACATATTTCCAGAATATGCACTTTCAGAATGACTATGAAATGGGGGCTCCTTAATGGATACTTGATTTACCTCGTGGAGCCCCTATGTGGCAGATCAGTGTATCGGTGAGTGCTGATACAGAGTGGGGAAAATTCAGTGCCCCGTGTTGGCCTGTAAGTTAACTTGTATTTAGCAAGCATCGTTCTATTCCTGCCGAGACAGTTCAATCCTAATAAGGACATAATGGAGCATCAAACAAGATCTCCTGTGGTGACTTATCCCAATTTAACATGAATGATTCCACGTCAATAATTGGGAGGTACAACACTCTTCCATATATTACTCCAGCAGTGACATATCGACAGGCACAATATTATCCAATGCCAGACACTGCGGCAATCAACATTGAAAATTCAGCTAAGCATAGTCAGCAAACTATTCCTTATTTTGGAACAAATATAAATTGTTTGTTGCTGCTACAGCTATAATATTTTCACTAGGGTGCCAAGCTGTGTGCAGTATCTTCTTATTGAAGTCTAAACAGTCAACACTAATCTCGTCCTTTTTTCGCTTGCCTCCCGTACTTATTTTTCTTTGTTTTAATATGGTACTAGGCTTCATATTTTCTCTAGAGGCTTCTAATGTGTTGTCTCGCTTAGTTTCCCTATCAAACATCCTGAAGAAGTTGTTATACGAGCCAGTCATGATGTTCCTGAAATTAATAACATGTAATGAATATTAATATTACATTGTTCTGATCGTATTTGCACCCTTGGGTGCTATATAGTGATTATTACCAGGCAAGCATCACAAATTTTTGTCTTTGGTGGTGAAACGAAACAACTTAAAATTTATGTTTGCAGGTTACGGGCCATGGATGTACAGACAGGTCAGCAATGGACGTTAACCCTACATTTATTGTACCTGCTTGTATAGTTACACTCCCCCATGGACTGTGAGGGGTATACAAGTGTCGAGCAGGTTTTGGTTCATCAGTTTTGCATCAAGCATACACTTTTTCCCCAGTCACACTGTTCAAAGAGGGTTTTCTTCATACAATAGTCGACACAAATAAAATACTACTAACCTGTCATTTCCGCTCCATGCACATTCAAACTTATCGAAGATACAGTCATTCTCATAGAGCGAACACAGCTTGCTTCTAAGGTACTCATGCACTTGGTATGTTTCTATTGGTTTCGAGTCCATGTGTAAGTCCCATACTTTTACAGAGAGGTAGTCCCTAGTGATTAAGTAGCGCCCATTGTGGCTAAATTTCACATCAGATATACTGGAAATGATTTCAGAGAAGAAACTTCGGTTTGTAGGGTCCTCTGGTTCCTCAAATACTGGAAACAAAAAGATACAAATTTTTTTTTAAATATTTAATATCAGAGGAAATAGTAAATGGTGTTGTAAAGGGTGGCATATAATTTTAGAATTTTCAAATGTTTCAGCATCCACTTGCCTTCATAAAAATGCAGAAATCATTGAATCATCAAAATATTGGCAAGATTATCAATGAAAATTAGTCGTTGGAACTGTAAAAATGTTTCCAGGTTATAGGCCATGGATGCACAGAAAGGTCAGAAATACTCATCAAATTCATTATTATCAAATTCAAACGAACATCAATTTGGTGTATGTTCCATTAATGAATGTGGCCCATGGGTCAATTTCTCACTTACAGAGGAATAATGAGATGTATCAAGTTTATAAAAATTACTTTAAGCTCACCTTCATTGGTGGTAAACAAAATACAATTCAAGCATTACTATAAGGAATTTGGAGAAACAGCTACAAGGAATAGAACTTACTTTTTGAATGCTGGTCACACAAAGCCTGAGACCTCATGTCACAAAGGCGTATAGTACCCTTACTACTGGAGTAGACAAACTGATTACACTCAGTTGGGTGAAATTCTGCTGCAGTGATGACCTCTGTTAACTCCTCCATATTGGTAGGTTTGATATCTACTATATCTGTGCATTAGTTAAGGTTACAACAGGTATCCATCTATTTCTATAATGTTACTACCAGGAATGAGTTAAAGCTTGACTAATTAAACAGTCAAGAAATGTATCAACAACGAATCAAGATAACAAAACAAAATGTTGCGAATTGTTAATCAAAAATTAATCACATCATCTACTTGAATTTCAAAAGTTGACTTATACACTTCAGCCCTGTATACAGTCACTATGAATAAATTTTCAATCGTTTCAAATGTTTCAATCGTTTCAATGCTTGCATCATTTTTTACATTTCAATGCTTGCGCCATTTCAAGTATTTCAATTGATTCGCCTGAAATGAATGAATGAAATCAAACAAATATGAGGGTTAACATGTAAACCTATGAAGAAAACCACTGGTCCTTAACTTTTTTAGAGGAGTATATAGTATGAGTAAAATTTTGAAAATATTTTTCTTACATATACTCGCTGGCCCGATATAAATAAAAGGTTTTTTTTTTCAATTTTGAGTGTTGTTCTTCATGTTACTTTATTTTAATTTCAAGGATACTAAAGCTTTGGTCTGTGATTTCTAAATGCCAGAGGTTAATCCTGAGGTCATCTGCTGACATGTAAGTCTCCTGGTCGCTGTTGACAGATATGGAATTGATGTGGTACGTGTGAGCGTTAGCAAATATTCTACGTGGACTAGCTTCAACCATGAGCTCCATAGGTTTGAATACAGGCACCTTTAGAGTGGTGATATCTGTTGAAGTGCGTGTTGTTCCACCTTCTTCCTTTAGGTTGTAGCCTTGTGGGCGTCTATCTCTCTCTGTTACTTTCCATAGCTTCACAGTTTTATCTGTATATATATAAACATATATAAACATGTAAATATATATCACATTTATAATGTGATCTCTGACAGTTAGTTTAAACAGTTATATGGATACAATTACATTAAAGAAAAGGAACAAGTACCTAAACTTACTTTTTCTATAATATGAAAGTTAATGCCGAAATGATTAACAGGTTGAAAGTTGCTCAAGATCTCATTTCCTTACAATATAGTAACATGCCACATTCGCTATACTGAGCCTGCCTTATTCATTGTAATAAACCTGCCTTTGATATTTCATTGATGTATTTTAACCAATGTTTATTACTCACAGTATAACCTTAGGAAACAACATATTTGAGGATACTTTATTTTTCCATTTATTATGACCTACAACATAAAAGTAGACCACGGATTGCAATAAATATTTTATAAAATGACTCACATGATTTTAGAACGAGGTCAAGTGTTGGCACTGAATTGAGGACAGTAATTTCAGGTTACACTATACAATAGTTTTGGAGAATTATTTTTTACATTTTTAAAAATAAAAAAATGACATATTTGAAATGTTTTTCAAAAATTATGCAACAGTGTTTACTGAATTTATAGCTTCACAAACTACACACCAATACTATGAATTATTCACTTTGTGTTTTTCTAAATGGCAGAATACAGAAACTAGATTTTGAATTCCATTGGGAAATTACATTCTTCTTGTAAGGCATGACATCCTAATTAATCCTATTTTTCAAACATAAGGAAGCAATAGATATCATTTCTATTAAGTTTTTCAATTCAGAGCATAATCTTTTTTATTAACACATAGCTTGGGTAAGAAAATAAGAATCCAGGTGTCACATCTCAAAAATATAATGGAATATAACAGAATTCGTTGACCAATTTAGTATTTTAGATTTGAAATTCTCTACATAGGAAATTAAAAGCCCTAAAAATATTTTAATGTTTGCAGGTTACGGGCCATGGATGCACAGACAGGTCAGCAATGGACGTTAACCCTACATTTATTGTACCTGCTTGTATAGTTACACTCCCCCATGGACTGTGAGGGGTATACAAGTGTCAAACAGGCTCATGGTCCATACTACCTTTCAATGTTAGTAGTTTCTGCTGACTTACCATTGGTAGACAGTAGGAAATGAGCAGGATTGGCTCTCTCTAGCCATCTGATCTTGTTAATCTTTTCCTCGATTTCCAAACTCTTCAGGTAGTCAAACTCAGGCTCATGGCTCTGGAAGGTGCTGTAGACGTTGTATTCCCCACGGCGCTGCAAGCCTGGACTGCTCTGTAACATATTTAAATGATCGAATCTATTAAACAATGATGCACACAGAATTTGATCCTGGTTGAGAATGTAGATCGCAACAGCTACCACACGAACAAAAGTGCATCTATGAAATCTGACAACCACAATGCAGTGTTGCAATTCATCTTAATAATCACAGAGACCTTATTTAGTAGTCTAAATCACATTTACCTGCTGGTCGCGCTGGAATATCACAACTCTACCACCTTTGTCTCCAGTAGCCAGTAGCTCCCCATCATGGTTGAACTCAACACAAGAGATGATGTCAGCTATAAATACAGAAATATTTAAGTTATCCATGATCAAAGAATTCTTGTTTCAACTTCAAGACAGACTTCTCTGTTGTCTACCATTATAGTCCTTTACAGCAGAGACAGTGAATATAACCAATCAGAGGAGCACAATCACATGGTGCAACATGAGCATCAGTTCAGCATCATCATTTCAAAACCACGGTAATACTATTTAAGTTACTCAATCCAAACTTGTAGAGAATACTCATAAAACAACAGGGAACATTCTGATTTCAATTTCAATGGCAAATGAGGTCTGTTTATAAAATTGGTTATTGAACATGCCAATACCATTGCTCATCTTTGGAAAATCTGACTTTGGTAAAATATGATTTACAGGGCAGATTTTTCATCAGTTTGGGACATAAATATTAAAATTCAACAAAATACTGAAATATGCCACCACTTCTGAATGCGACATAAAATTTTGTAATTTGTAACTGAAAACGCATTTTTCATGTACTGAAATCTCAGATGAAGCAGTTAGTATGCAAAGTGCAGTTATCAGTTGATTTCTCCATGAAGATCTTCCTTTTAGCAATGCTATTACAAATATAAATAAAAACATCGAATCCACGCAGTTTTTCTTCCATTATGCCCTCAAATTGAAGATAATTGACATAATAAAGGAGAATTTCTGTTTAAAATGGACTAGCCGGACAGTCTCTCACAATACTCTAAATATGTTTCGAATAATGTTATGTTAATTTCTGACAAGTTAACCAATATTATAGCTTGCTAGAGTCCATTTCACTGTTTAATTGCGTCAGTAAAAGCTAAAAAGTAAGAAATCAAAATATCATTATGTAATAATACATGTATATGGATAAAATATATTCCTATTGTACATAATAACATGTGTATATCTTGAATTGCTTCTAGTTTGGCTTATAATTATCAAAGTGTGTGGCCTCTTATATTTGGATGCTTCTCTGCCATGTTATTTTCAATAAGATTAACATGGCTGAAATTCTTCAAATTACGAGAGGGCCGTGCTTATTGCACAAAAAAATCTAAAAAATCTGAAATATACAAATGTCATTCATGTACATTATGAATATACTTTTCCATATATCATTGCACAATGGTCTCCCAATTTTTGGGGTTCTACTGACGCAATAAAACAGTGAAATGGCTCTGGATTCCTCTGAATGAATGCTAGGAGTCTGCTGTCTGGCAAGTTACTAATTTTCAACGATTTTATCACTAGGGCAAAGGGTTAACGTCGACGTGTGGGGTAATGTCGACATGAGAGACAGGGTAACTTCGACACTTACTTATAGAATATCCTTTTTCCACCATGTGTGATTTCTGGAAAAATATAAATCTTGCGGGATCTCGGTCCATGTGAGAAAAAAACATGGCTTCTCCCTAGATCGGAAATTAGAGAAAATGAACGACAGGGTGTCGAAGTTACCCGATATGTCAATGTTTCCCCATAATGCCCTATTCCCCTTTGCAGTGCAGTGTCATTGTTCTGGAAACAGCTATCTGTTTTTCAGTGTGTAAACCCTACTATTAGACTTTTCCCAATTTTAGTTATTGAACTAAAGATAAGAAAGTATAGATCATGATTTGGGCTTGCCCCAAACTGCACACCGACTGTGAGATGAAGTCAAGAATATTCAACTTCAAGTGACAGTTGTCAAAATTTTAGATCAAACATAGTTCTACTCGTCAATGAGAATTCACTTGAACACTCACCTTCTGTAACATCTTCTTCAATTGTGCCTTTCACCTGTGAGAAACACCATTGCATCTCACCAGTGCCAGCTAGAAATAAAAACAAAAGAAAATCAGGAAATCAAAAATTACAACAGAAATTATGGGGTTCCGATGAGTTGAAATGTAAATATTATACATACCAGCCATATTCAGTCGCGATGCTTTGCTTCAAATGAATCGTGAGATATTAATCGTCAATTTGGTGAAAGCTCTATTGATTTTAATCATTAATGAGGCCGAGATGGCACCCGATAGGGACAGCCTGTTTGACGATCAACGGAAATTTCAAAATGGCGAAGGGAGAGCAGTGACGTCACGAACAATAGATTTCTTGAATTGTGGGAAGGATTTTTTATGGCGGGAGATTTAAAATTGAAACAACTAGCACCTTGATTTCCTTTAAACTCCTTATATTTCTGCATTGTATATTTTTGCATGGACAAAGACAAACAGTAAATTGACTATTTCTTTGTAATATTACCCAACTTAGGAATGATTATGAAAATAGGAGTAACACTTAGACTATGTAGCGTTAGATTTAACATAGGCTAACACTACTCAGGGATTCGGGAAATAACCAACCATCAATCATCATAAAAAAAACATTATGCACGATCATGCATCTATGAATTCCTTAATTTGCCAACGGCACCTCGGGCCCTACTTGTCTTCTTGATCACTCTTTTACTTATTTCACTTATTTTGAATTTGGAAAATAAATCATTATTATTAGCACTGGCGGATCCAGGGGATCCCCTGGGCCCAGAAATTTTTTTTGGACCCGAATATTTTGTAGGGCTTCAAAAATGGACCAAAACTGGGTCTTTAATTTTCATAACTTGGGCCCAATTTGTTGTTTGAGGGGCAACCTAAGGCTAGTAGGCTGGATGGTAGGTAATTATGCTAGTTTAGGATAACCATGGACTTCTAATCAGAATTAATTTAGTATTCTAGATTTGGAATTCTCTACAGTTTAGGAAATTAGGACTCCTGAACAATATTTGAATGTTTGCAGGTAACCATCTTGATAAACCATGACATCTCATTTCTTCTCAGCCCTGAGATGTTTCAGGTGAAACAGAAAGATGCTATGAGTATCAGAATGGCAGGTAACTGGCCATGATTATTGATTGAGACACAATATATAATTACGATAGTCTCGTCGCTTAAGAAAGGATTGGGATTTGTAATGAATACGAACAATAATTGCTAAATTCATATACTAACTGTAACTAACAATCGTCAATGACATAAATTTGTATGATATTGATAGTTGCAATTCTTATCAAATACTTAAAATACAAATCAAAGTCCATGTAGGCTATTGGGTCTATTGTGGCCTATTGAACCCTAGGCCTATCAAAGTATGTTCTGATTTGGGTCTTAGCAAACATGACCTAGCTTATAAGCCTAACATCTGAGATGAAAACGGCAGAGTTTGGCACTTACTGATAAATACCCCTGCATTGTACCGACTGGTATTAGCCTACGTACACGGACGAGATGAATAAACTGTAGCTTTTTGAAGAACTATGTGCTCCAGCATAAGCACTGTTCCACAACTAGTTACTTTGACGCCGTAAATCCTGTAACAAAATGGATGAACTTCCTGGTTATGATTTTTTGTTTTCTCAAATTAAACCTACTTAGCCTATAAGTCAAGTTGATGATTATGATTTGGCACAAAGCTAGAAAATATAGTCTAGCTTTAATAAGTTTCTTCGATTTTGAATTTGTTTTGTAAATGAAGTTGCAATTCATATATTTAGCCCCTCACTTTTGTTACATTGACGATCAAGTCCGTTATATTACCAATGTATGTTACTTTGACGACTCACGTCAATGTAACAAAAGCGATGGTCTAAATGCATGAATTACAGCTTTAATTAAAAATCAAATTCCAAAGCGAGAGCATTATAAAAGCTTGACTATATTATCTAACTTTGCGCCAAATGATAATCCGCAACACTGACTTACAATTTAAATCGTGAAAATATAAAACGTATCCAGGAAGTTCCGTCTAAGTAACTATTTCTTGCAGAGTGGTAAGAGGATCTAAGAGCAATATTGATGATGGAGACTGTTTTTTCTAAAAATCTTGGGGAGGCCTCTTTACTGATATTATCGATATTATAATATTTGGCAGAATCAAATATTTTGGCACAATCAACTTTATCCCATATTGTAAAGTCAGCGTCTATTCCCTAACATAACGATTAAGAATTGATGAACACAAAATAGTTGGGTCACTATTGTACCAAACATGGTTAACGATATGATTAATAAGCAGAGGATTTTAGACGTCGCTTGGGAAATCTGAATGCTAAAGGTCATTCCTAAATTGTTTTTAAGGCAACATTGAACTAGGTTTGATCCTAGGTTTGATCGTGAGAGATCACAGGCTTCAGTATCTTTGCAAGGCAGAGGTTGTATGAGAATGGAAAGGGGTGTGATAGTGATTAATGGGCCATTGTCATTGTTTTGTTATTGGGGGCACCACATATAATCTATTATAACTTCTATTTATAAAATTCGCCTTATAATATTAGTTTACCCTACCAAGCGAAGGTGCCTAGCGCTTATAACTTACCCATGTTATGTTTGTTTCCACTTTTCGGGGAACCTGGCGAGAGGGGATGAGCCACGTGGTGGAAGACATTCCCGATCTTCTTCGAGATGTCCTTTGATATATGTACATGTGGCATTATTGCTATCTACTATTGTGGCAATGAAATATAGCTATAAATCGATGTCCGACTGATTTTCTCACATGTATACCAGTACATAACATTCAGCCTCTTACGTTTGACGACTCCGAACGACTCAGTTCCGACCTGGTTGTCTGCAATCTTTATGCTTGGATAATATCCTTGACTCCGTTCGTTAAATGTGTTTTGAGGTTATTCAGTGCTTCGAAATGACGTTTCTTTACTTATTCATTGAATTATGTCCCTCATTGATGTCGGTCACACTGTACTTCACGCAAACAGCTGTAGCAATCTCAGGATCACCATCAGCAATGCATGCCTGTAACACATTGAATGAATCATATGTTATTCGATTGTTACACCTTTTTGATCAAGCCCCATGTTAAAAATCCCGTAATGTTTATTTCACAAATATTCTCTCAAAATTTTGAATGAAGTGACAAATCCCTTGTAGTTTTGTACAATTTAGAGTGTGCAAGTCCAACATATGTTTTTCACATTTCGTCGATTTCACTCCTTTTCACTCATTTTTACATTTAAAAACACGACCGCCATAATATTCTAGTCATGGACAGTAGTAATCATATCAAGGGCACTTCACATACGTTAACAGTCCCGATAACATACACGTAGAGCCCATAGACCTTGATAATTTCGTTTTACAAATAATATAATAATCTGTGAATACAACTAGTACTCAACGTTTGAAAAACTCAAAATAACGTACAACACACATGGTGGTTGATAAGTGATGGAAAAGTACTGATTGAAGCGAGCTAACAATGACATTGATTGTGCCAACGATTAAGTTGATTGTACCAGAAAAGTATGTCGATTGTGCGATGAAGTTGAATATTCCAGCAAGAAGAACGTGCCAGTTATGAAGTTGAACGTCCCATTGATAGGGTCACCAATGACGTTGAATGTGCCAACGATGAAGCTGGTAGGGACAGCAATGAAGCTGAATCGGACGATCTTCACTATAATGATTACGTCATGATTAATATGTAAATTTATTTATGATTTTTAAGAAATAAAGAGTATTTATTATTCATAAAAAACTATAATGTCAAAAAGGACATTTTACCGTTGTTAGATATTTTCATCCAAAACTCATAGCTTCCTGAAAAACAAGCTAATGTCTATTGGCAATGAGCTTAATGCTCATATGACTCATGAACCCTCATGAACCCTGCCATGGCCCCATAGGCTTCTGACTTCTGAGTACATATTGACCCGCCATGCATTCTAATACGCATTGCGTCTTCTTGATCTTGCCCTGGCAGTTCGTGAATCCAGATGAAGATGTTGTCATGGTAATTCACGATGCTACTGGCCGATACTATTACCACATAAATCGAATTTCATTCAGGACCAAATTACCTACAGGGGCCCAATTTAGCTTACCAAAGGCCATGAACAATTAAACAAGAAATATGTAACTCATGTTGAAAGATCTGATGTCAGGTTACGTACCCTAAATCACCATCGGATATACATTTTGGAGTGGATAAGATCTCAATGATCTTAAATGTGGCTATAGTTTATATAGGAGTTATAGTAGTTAGAATATAAAAGTGTCAATTGAACGTCGGCAAAATGTAGCGCAGTCATATTCTAGCTACTGCATATATTTATCATTTCGGTTCATTGTTCCTTGATTTTTCCGATCATCGGGTGTGATTCTATAAATATTGTTGCGCAAAAGAGGGTCAAAAGAATGACGCCATTTGCGTAGACTTCGAATATAACACGAAAAAGGGGAAAGTATCAAGAATAAGGATGTAATAGCATTGCGGAGGTCTGCTAGTTACAAAGTTGATCAAATAATGGTTTCATGAACAGTGGCCAATTTGGACTTTTATTCTTTCTCAGTGCAAAGCTTTTTAAAAAAATAAATTTCGCTCAATTCAAATGAGTTATTTATCACAGAATGGTTTTGAAGACTTTCGTTTTCAAGGTGATCTTTGACCTCAAGTAACTTTTCAAGAAAAGCAGTACAATTTTTAATTTTGACTCTCTTGAAATGTAAGCACTATGCATGTAGAACTATTCCAAATTGATTTGAAATAATGAAAAATTAAAGATAATGAGCATGAAATACTCATTTTGACATTTTACGTTCACTGCAATTTACCCATTTTACTCAGCATCCTTGCCTAAGTCGGTATTTTTTTACTAATCTGATCTAATAGAAATCAAGTAAAAGAGACCGACTTGGGCAAGGCTATCAGCATCCTTGTATCTTATTAATCATTCGTCTTAGCCCAGGCCGTATAATGTGAATAGTACCGTGATATAGACATATCTATAACGTATTCACTGAGCAAACGAATCAGTGAATAGTACTGTGACATAGAAGTATCTTTAACGTATTAGCTGGGCAAACGAATCAGTGAATAGTACTGTGACAAAGAAGTATCTTTTACGTATTAGCTGGGCAAACGAATCAGTGAATAGTACTGTGACATAGGCGTATCTATAATGTATTAGCTGAGCAAACGGCTCGGTGAATAATACTGTGACATAGCCCAATCTATAACGTATTAGCCTTAGCAAACGAATCATTGAATAGTTCTGTGACATAGGCGTATCTGTAATGTATTAGCTGAGCAAACGGCTCTGTGAATAATACTGTGACATAGCCCTATCTATAGTTATAACGTATTA